CAGGATTCAAGTCCAGGCGAGGGCGTTGCACATTTTTTACGTCTCCTGCTTCAAAATACCCTAATGGCTCTACAAATTATATACCACTACAATTTGAAAGATACATTAAAGATGCAATGTTTAATCCATTCTTGGTACCACCACTTTATTTTATTCTATTTTACTGAATTTCAAGATAAAAAAACATTCTCGGCGAATTAAACTCGCAAGATAAGTATCTAATGTCCCAATTTATAAGTTCCAATTTTTTTACAATTAAGATATAATAAATCTTTTTTCTAATTATTTCCATCCAAATGTTGTTTCATATTTCATTTTCAGCTCAGCTTTATTTGATTTATTTAAAAATCATTCTGGATCTCTGAAGTATTCAGGTTACACACCATGGGAAAAAAAAGTTGAGAAATGTGTTAAAATGTGGTATTTGTGTCTCAATTATGAAGTTTTACCAGATGCCAAGTTGTAAAGCTTTTTTAAAAAAGATGCATCACATTAGCCTTTAATATTTTTTATAAATATTTATTAAAAATTATCATGCACTAGGAAAATAATTTGTTTGATTGAATACAGCAGAGCACACGACACAAAGAAGTGAAAAGGTGAATTCCATTTACTGTCACCATACGGAAACAAATTAATCATGCAATACGAGGAAGAAAGAGAAACCATCGAACTCATGCGACCTGACTCTTAGGCTACCTCTTCATTCGTTTTGGTCACGATCTGGATCAATCAGCAGTCACGGATAACGCTACTATAAGCTTTTTAGACTAGTCATATTGTGGAGAATGTCCACGGTATTTAATGTATAAGAAATTATAATAATAATTTATTTTAATCATATATATATATATATATGTGGGTGGGTGGGTGTAATAAGAAAAGGACTTTGCAATATTAATGGTGTAGAACGTAGAAGGCAAGAATTTTGATTGCGTAGAATGCTAATCCATAATGAAAAGGAAACTGGCAGCCGAGGAAGATTAAATCTTCATTTTCAGTAAACATGTTGCGGCCACAAACAACTTGGCACATTATTTTGTGTCTATTTGAAAATGTTATCAGGATTACTATTTCTTCTAATCTGATTGGCAAATATGTGGGTGTCCTGAGTAGAACAGTGAATTTGCTTTAAACTATGTCCGGTGAAATTGTAGAAGATGTGACAAGATGTTAAGGGTTTAATTATTCTTTATTCTTCACAGTTTACAGCTGCTCCCGCACATCTGGATACAAAGACCAGTACTTGTTGTTTGAACGTAAAAAAAATAAGAAATACAAACTAACGAAATTTAAATAAGAGCTAAACTCAAATGCTTTACAAAGACTAGTAACGCGAGAATTGGCCTTTTTCTTTACGTATATAATACGCAGAAATGCAGGAAATATACGTCTTCAATATCAAGAGGACTCAATTTCTGGCTTTAAATGCGGACAGCTACTGACTGAAAAGCGGGCGTGAAATAAGGTGACGGGAAGTCTCTCTTTCTAACTCTTCTTGACTAAATGCCACAACTTAAATACTTAACAGTTTGCAAGCTCAATTTGCATATTAAAACTAACCGCTTTGTTCTGGCCGGAAGAGGAAAATAAGAGGGGGACAGTAAAGTTTTAAAATAAAATAAACGTTAGTAAAACTTAAAATCCTTACAATATTTACATTTTTGATAGATTTGCAATAAGAAGGGAGCAGCAGATAGCAGTCCATCTGGGCCGAAGAATAGAATGTAAGTGCGTTATGTTCTGGATGAAATCTTATTTCAGACTGAGTTGGTTTTGGTTCTTAATGCATTTTGATTGGATAATTAATACTTCTGTAAAATTATTATTGGATGTTTTAGTTCCATTGGCATCATCAGAATTATGTAAGAGGCATATGACATGGATTAGTCCCGAAATGACGCAGTGAAAAGGGATATTACTCTTTTTAGAACACACAGGAAGAATTAATTTACTTTGCTAATTTAAATTATAATTTATGTTTTACATATTCTTTATTTTTCTTATACATATATTCCTTTCTGTAGACAAAATTTGAGATACAAGATAAATTTAATTTCATTCTAAAGGACTTCCCAACCATAACGAGGGAAAAAATTTGAAATGAGACGCATTTTTCTTCAAGGAAATGAAAACATACAGATTTAAAAGTAACCAGAAGGAGAAATGTTAAAAGATCGTATTTATGCGACCTTAAGCCGCCCCCCCCTTTTTTTTTTTTGGCTATATTAGTGTCGCTAGAATAGTCTAGCGAGTCTTAAAATCGATGGTACGTAACAGCCGCAGAGTGTTTCAAATTAGTAGTTATTTTGAATAATTTGGATTAATCAAATCACTAATTTACATACATGTACTATTACTGTTAATAAATCGAAGTCGTTTATTAAAAAAATTTGCTAAATACATTTTAATGTAGTGTTTGGTTTTTGGTTGAGAACGAGGCTGCCTACCAAAGGAGAGTACTTGATGTAAATGAAACATAAATTTTAATGTAGTATTTGGTTTTTGGTTGAGAACGAGGCTGCCTACCAAAGGAGCATACTAGATGTAAATGAAACATAAATTTTAATGGGTGCTAAAACAGATAGATCAACGATGCATGTAAGCCAATGAAATGTGAGAAAAACGTAAGATGGATAATTTGATTATTACCTTAACTGGTATAAACGTTATGTCATGAGTCTGCTTCGCTATTCATTTAGGTCGGCAAGTACTTGACTGTAGCTACTTGACTTCGTAGTAAATGCTGCAGTACTCTACTAGATTTTTACTTCTATTCCAGTCTTTCAGCAGCTATACCCAAATTTAGGATTTCGTACATCACATTGCCGCACCAGGCTGGACGGCTACTGACCACATCGATAACCAGGACGATTTCTCCTTCCGAATATTTAGATGTATGCTTAAACAATAAATCTTTTCAGGAGATAATTTTATATATTTTTGTCATATTACGTCTATTCGAATTTGCATTGAATTAAAGAAGGTGTTAAATGTTAATTTTATTAACATTTAAATTTTGAGTTATTTTCCTGTCAAATTCTTAACTTCAACTTTACTATTTCCGGCTAGAACGTAGTTTTAGAATCACGTCTGAATGCATAATGAGGAAGAGCGGTATTTAACCGCGAAGTTCTACTTGCTGAGTTACAGAGAATCAGAGTTTCTGATTTGCGCGCGTCCGCCTTTTTGGCTACTCTCTCTGAAAGCTTGTTATTACGCTCGGCCGTACTCAGGCCCTTGATAGCTTCGCACTCAATTCGCGTTAAGAGGCCAACTCGGTTAGAATCTTGATAGGCTTCGGCTATATCTCTTTAGTTTAGATTAGTTTTAGTTTATTTCTTAGCCTCTTAAGTTCAAGCCCAAGTGCGGGCTTTTATTGTACACTCCAAGACGGAGTTCTGTAAATCTTGTTTGACTAATAAAGGGTTATTTATCCTTCCCTCTTGTTGTTTATTGTTGCACGAACTCAAGCGATTATTCGCTTACTAGTTCTTAAGATTCTTCACTTTCAACAGCAACTTAGCCTTTACCAAGTGAGGAACTCTACACATTTATCGTTTTTAGAAGAGACTCAGAGTTTTGGCGCAGTTAACCTCACTGATAAGCTTGGAATGAATTGAGTTGAATTGGAATTTATGGCTACTTACTATGGTAAACTAAAAGTGGCCTTCCAACACTGAGGCAATAACATCGGACCTATGAAGTTATTTCTGGCTTTCAAGAGTTTAAAAATGTAATTGAAGGAAATGAAATGCGGATACAGAAAAACAAAACAACGATAAAGGCTGCAGGATTTCATAAGATTAAGGCAGTCTAATCTCAAACGCGAGAAAAGCCTGCAAAAGACGAAACTGAAGATGAAATAACAAGGTTAATAACAGTAAGACACTGAAGTATGTATGTGAATTATTAGACTACATAGAGGAATAAACATAAACTGAGCTTCAATTTAATGGCACAGTAGCTTGCTGTAACATAACTCTAAAAAAAACAACAGACGCTTTCATAAAAAAATATTGAAAATATACTTAGTGCTGGCGGTACGCTTTCAACCATCCATTGTCTAGGGAACTTTTCCACTCCTAAATATTGCAGCCTTGTGCCGTTACAAAAGCTCTAGCGCTGGCACTGATTATATGTAAGTTTTACATATAAGAAAGAGAGAAAACATACTTAGAATAATAGAAAGAAATATGCTTTTTTTTCAGTAATTCACTTTGTAGAGTCATTAGGTTAATTGGAAGCAGAAAAGATGAAAAATATGCAACCACCTTCGCCGGGAATCGAACCACGGACCTCTGGAATACCGGCCCAGCGTGCTACCGTTACACCACGAAGGCACGCTAGGGAAGTGGGAGGAGAAATAATAACTTTAGGAAAAAGGAAGCCCTCTGATCTTGAGTAATCATAATCAGAAGCGGACTTATAATAATAAGACTTACAAGGAGACTATGTCGAGAAATGAAGGTAAGTTTGGGAAAAAAATGACATTTTTTCTTTATTAGGTCGTAAAATTTTCAGCTTTATCTCAATGTTCTCGAAATTCGACTAGAGAATTCCCCTTTTTTTCATACATCATTTTTTTTTTTTTTTTTTTTTCCCAAATGGCGGGCACTTGCCTATAACGGCACTGGCCACTAATAAGGCCAGAAGTGGTAGCCATTTTATTGTGGAGGCACCTAATAGGCGGCCACCGTTACCTCCTATGAAGAGATAGACAATTTTACATCCAGGCCTTCTCCGGGATTCGAACTCGGTCAGGCTCCCCTAACCACAATACCGTCTATTTATAATTTTCATATATTTCTTCCTTTCGACTACGTAATATTCAATCTTTTTTACGGGGTTGTTTTAACAGCTCAAAATCTATTTAAGATGGATTATTTTAATGGCTAATACATTTTTTTCAGATGGTATAAATGGTTGAAATATTTCACTAAAATTTATCATTGTAATTGTTTTTTTTTTTTTTTTTTTTTTTTTTTTTTTTTTTTCAGATGGATCCTTTTAAGTATTCCCTTTATACATTTCATTTCTATAGTCGATTTGAAGTTACAAAATCATAGCAACTTCGCTGTTGCAAATCCGTATCAACAAAATGAAGTCAGAAGGTTTACCAGACAAGTTCCTAGCAAAAGAAATGGTAACAGAAAGATTTCCCCCCCTTTGCCTAGAATACCTCGCATTTCATCTTCGGAATTGGGAAAAATTATTGACAGAGCTCAAGCGGTGGTTGAAAGACGATTAGAAACTACAGAACAAAATATTTACAAAAATGGTAAATAGCATTTTTTATTAGTTTTTCAGCTATTCGATTAAATAATATGATATTTTTCTTATTTGGATTAGTTAAATATAAACAAAGGTTAGAATCTGAAGAAAATTTCTGTGTTTCTCTCTACATTTTATAGTTTGTTATTTAAATTTATTAAAAAATTTTTTTATAGCTAAGTATAACCAAATAAAAATTTATTATTTTATTACAATAAATTATGTAACATCTAACTGTAATTTTTTATAAATTTATAATGACATAAACTCTACAGCAAATATTTATAGTCATTTTTTCAGTATCGAAAATTTTAATACACCTTTTATGAATATCGAAAATACATTTTTTAACTTGCAATTGAAAAACATCTGCCTTAAGGCACGAAAACCGATAAAATATTGAAAACTAAGAACTACTGTTTCACTTTAAATAGAGATGGCTTATACATTCTGTTGTTAGAAAATTATTTCACATCTAAGCAACAACTTTGAATATCCGCTATATAAATTTTTACTTTAGTTTTAACATTAATTGATAATGTAAACTTCTATTTGCTTAACTTTGAAAACCATTTATGCTTTGTCCTAATGATAAAAGTTAGGCGAATCAAAAATAGAGTCAGTGGTTTATTAAGGTTTTTTTTTTTTTTTTTTTTTTTTCTTATTTTATTTTGCTACTGCACGACTCAATCTTGCTGCTGTTAGCAATTTATTGCGCACGCATGTTAACGAATAGAAATAATGTAAAAGACAGTCAAATCAAATTAAGCTATTTTTAACATCCATGTTCTATATGGATAAACAGAGAGAAATTACAACTTTAAGTTTCCTGTTCATCTTGTAGAGACTCACTTGTAAGTTGATACACCAGTGGTTAATTTTAGTTAAAACAGTTTCATGATCATTGATTTTTCTTTCCTTTCCTCCTATTTTTAAGAAGGAAAGGTTTAGGTTTTTAGGTTACGGGAACACTAGGGCTATCTGTCTAAGAAGCGGGATGCCTTCGTGGAGAAATTTCTAAGGCGTACTGAATCACACTTTACACATGGGAAAAACCGCGAAAATGCCCGTGCAGCTAGCTCGTTTGCCTGGAATCGAACCCAGGTTGGAGGTACCAGTGTTCAGGGATTTTAGCGCTCCGCCGCCGGTGGGTCTTTTAAGACTCTGCCAAAAAATAAGACTTTAATTTAATGGTATTGTTGAAGTCCATTTTTAAACTGTTCTTTAATGCTACTGAGAACTTAATTCCTCTTTTTATAATAATGTTTATTGTTCTTTTATTTACAGTCTGTTACTTCTGTTTTAAATAATGATTTAATTTACATAACCAATTAACCTTAAGATTAAATCGATTTAGAATACAGAAAAGTTCTTAATAGTACTTTTTGTCATTGTTGTTGACATTAGTTATAATATGGGTTATTCCTCTTTGTTGTGAGTTTTTAACTGCCGTCGGATTAATATTGATTTTGAGGCAACCATTATTATCGACAAAATAATTTCACGAGATAAATATAAATTTTAATAAGATATTAAGAGATAATTTAATATAAATTTCAGAAAATCGAACATGATGTTTTGAAATTTAAATTTGAAACAGCATTTAAATTTGAAAAAAAAAGCACATATTTTAATTAACTATTTCAAATGTCAGTAGAATACAAGTAATACAAAAGAAATTTGGAACCATCAACGATATAAAATTTTTTGGACCCTAAAATACGTTTAGTAAGAAACTAAGAAGTTTGTGAAGTAACTTAAGCTGACATTTGTTGGTAAAAATAATTGTTATATGGTTCAAATTGTACGGCTACTATTTGAAAAAATATTCTCAAAAATTATAGTAAAACTGCAAGACAAAACTTTTAATTAAATATTAATGGAAGAACAAATTCTGTAACAAATTTGATATATTGTAGTATGTCGAGAAGGATTAAAAGACGAGATACCATACTCTTAAAATGGGATGCTCGTTAAAAGGCAGAATTAAACTTTTATTGATATGACAAAAACGTTTGAGTAATATGTACAAACACAAGTACATCATGTTTAATATAATAAAGTTGTTGTTATTATTACCAATCTCACTTGTCTGACAATGGAAAGCACAAGCCCACGACATTCATCGTGACAAGGAGCCAAAAGCGCTTGTCGTTGACAAGAGCCTTGAGCACCATTAGGTGACAACCCGACTTTAGCTCAGTTCCGCCCCAATTTTGAGATACAGCACCCCGGAAGGGGCGTCCTGAGGTTCTCCCACCCCTTTTTCCCTAATCACCAACCTCTCGAAAGGACTTTCGGATCGCTGCATATTTTGAGTGCCCCATGTCACACAGACACTGTACATTTGCAAACATCCATACCTTCTCCGAGATTCAAAACCAGGCCCTTCGGTATGGCAGTCAAATCGCTAACCACTATCCCGGTTGGACGGCTATACAATAAAGTTATAATGTAATGTATCATGTTTAATACCATTAAGTTACAATGTAGTACATCATATTTAATGCAATGAAGTTACAATGCAATATATTCTATTTAATGCATGAAGCAATATGTAAGTGTGTACGAACATATTGTATGGTATGAAAAAAAAATATGACTACTATTACGATGAATAAGATCAGACTTTTCACAAATATTTTTCAAATCAGTTAACCATAGAAGTTAATTCATTAATTTGTTCATTTTAAAGCAAAAAGATTAATTCATTCATTTTAAGGTAAAATGTGCTCAGCACTTTTAGTAAAAATGAAGAAAAACCGCATTTTATTGTTTAAGTTAATAACTAAAGCATAATGACTTGCCCTGGACTATGGTATTTGTGCTCTTTAAACAAACAGTATGCCAACTAAAGGTTAAGCTAACAAAAAGGAAATTTAAAAAAAAAATCATTGTTCACCAACTAAAATTCCACTTGGAAAATCGAATACTTACTTGAGAAATCAACAGGACAGTGCCTTAATTTCTTCTGTTCCGAACGAATCTTTTATGCTTCTGATAATGATATTTGAGATCTTATTATTATAATCAATACTTAACAATCATTTTTGATTAAATAATTTCGCCTCTAGCTATTAGAATTTCAAAGAGAAGTCAGGAAATAGGTAGAGAACCAAAGAAAAATTTTAAATCATATCCATAGTGAATACGATCAATGTTTAAATTAACTCAAAAAAAAAAAAAAAAAAAAAGGTGATAACTATTAAGTCCGGATGATTATTCTGAATATTAGAATGTTATCTAGCAAGTGAATTAAAAGTGTTCCGACAGTCAGATCATTAGCAAGCAGATTATTGTTGAAATGCATAAAAATAGTTTTTATAAGAACCCCAGTGCACCCCTTTTTCATACATGTAAATTTTACTTTTTCCTTTGACCGCAGGAATAGTACTGGAGCCTGGGAGCCCAGCTTGGTTTGCTGCAGCATCTGCCAAGACAAAAGTTATTGCCAAAAATATTTCCCGAATGGCTCTCGTGTCAGAGGAAGCTACAAGAGCTCTAGAAAGGCAGTAAGTTAAAATAAATTCCTTTTATGTATTTGCTTCTATAAATATTAGTTTAGTTACTTTTTTTTGCACAAGAATGAGCAATAAAGGTGTGTAAAGTTTAGAAATTGTCATTAATTTTAAAAGCAAATTTTCACAATTTCAGTTTCATGCACTGAGTGTTGTACTTTTATTTTATAATTACATATAAAATCTGCAATGCGATTCAAATAAAATTTATTTTAAATTTCAAATTTCAAAATAATTGTTTAGAATGGCAAAGTTACCAAATATGTTAAGTAGAATTAATTAAATAAGATATACTATCTAAGATATAATATCCTGAGGAATTTTTTGAGAAAGACCATTAGATTTTAGTTGCAAACAGGAAAAACGCATCCTATTTTCTTAAGTTTCTCATTGTGAAACTGGAAACTAACCTTCCAAAAATAAATAAGTGCAATTATCCGTCATTTCACGAAATCCTTTTTCGAAAATGTTCGGAATTACGAATTTATTATAAAAGACTGAGAATTCTCCGAGTTTTTTCAACCAAAAACAAAATGATAAATTCTTCATCTGCCAAAGCAACACCATTCGGAACTAAATTTCTCCTTTACGAAGATGTGATAGTAATGCTTCCGCAATTAAATCAGTATCACAGTAGTTGCTTACATATTTCGGAATTATAAATTTTCTGGCATCTTCAGTCGTCGACTATAAAATTACTTATTAAAACCAGTTTATCGGTAATTTTTCGGTATTGTTCTCACAAAAATTTATTTAAAATATAAAAGTTAATAATACAAAAATAGACGTTTTGTTCAAAATCAATCTAGCATCACAAAAGAAAAGGCATAAAAATATTCTAAACACAAAATATAAAATTACGCAAAATAAACGAAAAAATTTAATTTAAAGTAATCTCGAAAAAATGAATACCTTAAACATATATATGTGTATATACTGTTCTATTCTTCGAAAATATTGCGAAAAATCTTCAATTATCTGTATAATTTAATATCTTTTATTTATCATTTCATTTTTATAATTATTCATGGGAGAAACATAAATTATCTGGTCTCCTAATTGGGATCTAATTTCTACACAAAATAAGCAAGCCGTTGTGTTCCTTCAGGTTCTATACCTGTCGGTCCAGTACACATTAGACTATCGTATGCTATTTAAATAGCGTACAATACCCCCCCTCCTCCTTATTTTTTCTCGGCAAAGTTACTTTAATTGCTTTTTTAAGACTTGATTTAAATTTTTAGCCCAAAGGGGCATTTTGTCCAGAACGGCTATTAATTTCGTTTTGGCATTTTGGTTTGATTCACTATAAACGGCGTTTCACTCTTCAAATTATTGCCACCAAATATTAAAACCCTGCAGTATATTTAAAGAAATTAAATAATGAAGAATTTGCATGGATGTATGTATGTTTCTCGCACTTATGTAAAAAAGGTTACTTAAAGACGTATAATTTTGAACAACGTTGTCCTCCACTCAATGGGCAATTCCAGATGTCCAATATGGGTATCTGGAAGCCCAAATTTGAAATTTATTTTATTATCTCTTTCATATTTCATAAAACTTTAACGAATTTTTGTTTAACAATCTCAAAGATTTCAAAGCGAGCAATAGCAGCACTGTATAGGAGGGGGAGAAGTATTTCCAGCGCGAGAGATTGTGTATCGGAAATTATAAGGATATGCTTATTTTTAATTATAATTTGATATTGCTGTTGAATTAAATTTTTGTTTAAGTGCGAAGAGCATGATATTTCATAAATAAAGCTAACTCACAAAACGTTAAAAAAAGCCATAAAAAATTTAACTGAAAATAAATAATAATGATAACAATTTTGTTTGATTAAAAAGTTTCTGTAACGAATATGCATTTTATTTTTAACAGATAGGAAAATTGTAACGTAATTCCAAGCAGAAATCCATAAGCTTCCTTAATTAAAAAAAAAATTGGTTTTGCCATTGTGTCCACATTCGATTCAACTTATAAATGTGAACAAATATTTTCGCACATTAAATTTATTTTAAGCAAGAATAAGAGCAGTTTAACTAATCGAAATTCATATTCTTTTGTATTCGTCTTAAGACGACTAATTATAAACTAAATTTGACTAAATTGATGTTCAACATTAGGGGACCCACTGATATCAAAGACAAAAAAAAGTTCATTCAGTTTGTTTGTATAAAAATTAGAATTTTAATAATAATTTTTATGTTTAAACTCTAAAACCTATTGTCATTATTTTCTCAGTAAAATTTATTTTATTATTCACCAAAATAGGACTTTTAAAATGAAAATACCACTGACCCGAAACGTCTTCTTAATACACATATTTTGGTTGACTTTGACCAGCGGCAAAAAAAGGATTGCCGACGCCTGGCTTCGAGAATATTTAGAATCAGAAACGCACTATGCTTCTGGTAATTCAAGATTATCTGTATCTATTTTTTCTTGTATATGCGTTCAGTTAATTTCTGGATTTGCGTTATAAGTATGGTTTTATTTAAAAGTGTGAATTCGTCATTTGTGCTTTTAAGATCAGGATGAAAAGTGTATTGGAGAATATCAGAATTAGTAATTTGACTTAATTTTATACAATGCAACAAAGCTTTCTCAAGTTCATTACGTAAAACCTGATTTTCATTTGTGGTAAAGCGTAATTTCAGTGTTTTAGCAGGTGTACATAAAAGTGCGCAGGACATCAGAATTTGACCGTTAGTTGTACAGGTACAATCTCACTGAACCAATTGTATAGCTAAGAACCCCATTTTTGATGAAGAATTGTCAGGGGACGGTCTGAGGGTTTTTAATTCCTTTTCCACTTCTATAAAACCACTCAAGAGGATTTTTGGCTAGCCAGTATTTTGGGTGCCGAAGCTACATACACCTACAAACATCCATAAACTCTCCGGGATTTATGCCTGAACTTATTAATACGGCAGTCAGTGTCACTAACGGCTATACCGATTAGGGTAGCAGTGTTATATCAGCGACATATTATAAATTAACATTATGTTCAAAAAGGCAACAAAACATGATGTTCATTAGCAAAAGGCTTCATCACCATGTTTTATCGGTAGCGACTTTAATGTTGCGTCATACAGCAATAGAAGTTCATTCATTGTCTGTAAGTTTCATGTCATCTTTTTTAATCCATAAGGTTTTCTCTAAAACAATTTTAATCACCGAGAAACATTCCAACATAGTCATACAAACAATTTCAATAGTTTTAGAATCTAGTTATCAATAAGTGTTTCTGACATCTTTTGTTCTCCCGGTTATTTAGCTTTGTTTTTCGTTCATGATTTGTAGAATATTTTGACTATTTTTCGAATGTTTTTAAATAGAGATCTCAGTTGTAGATTTTCTGAAAATTCAAATGAAACTTCGTAATTTTATATTGAATTGCTGTAAAAAATGTCATCATTATTTTCAGTCTTCGTTGCTTTCGTCGTTAGAGTTTTCCTCATCAACTATGCTGAGTTATTTAATGATTTCGTAACCTTTATCTCCGGTTTTACCTAAATTATTTCTAATGTGAGGTTTATCTATTTATTTTTAACTGATAGTTTATTTTTAATTGAAAAGCCTTTCCTAGTACTCTCTTTTCACCCACTCTTCTCATGCCAGAATGCAAATGAGATAGAAAGAGTTTTTTCAGATAGAAGAAAGGTAGAATGAAGTGCTATTTAAGCAAGAGTTTCGGAAGTTATGTTTAGAGCCTGTCTGCCTATTCCATGTCACATTGTGCTGTGATTATTATCGATTTGCATCAGCGGCTTTGAGTGTTCTAGCCATTAAGCTTGTCTCGCCGGTTAACTACAAACCAGAGCTCTTCCTGCGCGTTAAAAAATTTTGTGAGCCGTTAGGCTAATCTACTACACCTTGAAATTAGTATTTTGTTACGTTATTCTGTTAAGCCAGAAGTGCATGGCTTCTTGTAACGCAAGTTGGGTTATTGTTAATTTTCTGTTTGCAGAAAAGGGTTTTATACACCCTTCTTCTGATTTCTGTTTTGTTTTACAAGGCTAGAAAATAATTCTTCAAGAGCCCTTTTAAAAGCTTATGTTCTCAAAGAGACATTACACTATCATGAAAAATTCTGATAATAGTTAATGTATTTCATTTAAACAGTATAACTGATAATTTGCATTAATCAGGTTCATTGTTTTCTTCGTTACTGAAGGTCAGTCTGCAGTTATTCCCTCATTGTTTAATAAAGAAATGTTCATACTGTTTCAGTTTAGATTCAGTGATAATTACGCATCTTTCAGCTGACAAAGATCCATTATTACTACTACGTAATCCAAGATTCCATTATTTATTCCCACTTACATGGACATTAATGTTTATACAGGGATAATTTTTAATAGATGACCATTCATATATCGTTAGTCTGAATGCATTATCATCAAAATTATATTGTCATATTCCGCTGATTATTTCTTGCTTAATTTTATCTGCATATTGCATAACAGTTTCTGAACCTTTTTTGAAGATTTAGAAATGTTTTAATAATACTTCTCTGTTAATAACATTCGCAAATTCAAAGTTGTGCAAAATTTTAAAAATGAAAACCCATCCCTTGCTGTTATTTGCGCACTACGGCAAAACTTTTTTCTCAAAACATGAAGTAATTCGGGTTGAGAATCAGCAGTTTTATTAGAAGTTAGATGTTTCATTAGATTTTTCTTTCTTTTTTTTTTTTCATTTTAATAGATTAGTTTTATGCTGGTTTTTGAGATGGTTAAGTAAACCATTGGTACTCCATTTGCTGCTTTTCTTTATTTTGAAAACAGGTTAGATATATCTACACTCTTCTCAGATTATCTAATTAAAATAAAGCTACGTTAAACTTTTATTCATGAATGCAAATAAAAAAAAAAAAAAAAAAAAAAGGGGAATTCTTTAAGCGTTTATTACGATAAAAATACAATGATAATATTCACCTCAACTTTGATAATTTTCTCTCGAAGGTATATTATAAGTATTTCTGTGCTGGTACTTTCCAGTATTGATCATTGTACCACGTTTTTATAATTTTAGACTAAATATGTGAACTGTGTAATAAAGAATACTGATAATTTTATTGATGGTAATTAGTAATTAAGTACTATGTACATGCTCTGGTCCGAATCCAGTGACCAAGAGAGTTTCGTTCTCTCTATAATAGGTGGGGTTGTATTCTAACTTAACAATCACTATAGCTTTACTTTTGCTATCAAAAACAATTAGTTTATGATGTCTTGGCTAGCTAGCAAGTCTTGCTGTGGCAATGTCTCGTTCACTGTACTACTCAAGCCACCCGTAAACATCGAGACGTCTTTCATGTACTTTGATGTTTATGGGTATTACATACCATGGTACAATGTACTTTATACATTGTACATGGAGCAATGTGCTCCATACAATGAAGTACACCGGTATTCAAAATTAAAAGAATTTCACTTTTGGTCGAAGATCTTCAGAACGTAAAGATTTTAATAAATTTGATTTAAACTTAGATAAATATTATAGTATTAATATATATATATATATACTAGTCATGGTAGTACGAGCGCATGATCGTGCGTGAGACGTATCAGCGCAGGAAGGTCTAAAACAAACGTTATTAGATAGAACAAATAAGGAGACTAATAGAGAGTCTCTTTTAACAATAATACAGCTCTTGTAGTAAGAGTTCATATTGAAAAGGAAATAGTTTATAAGCCTCTTGAGGCAATCGACTTCACTCCTGGAGCAACGTTATTATCACGTTGTGGTGGGATTTTATAAGGGGAAAGTCGAACTGCATTTTCCCTCCTAAGAGCGTGCCAGGCATAAATAAATGTGGGAGATGTGGGATACAGTTCAGGTCTGGAAATCTTGGTAGCTAATCCATTCAGTTAATATACTCATTCACCAGAGCATCATCCACCAGATTAGCTTTACGTGGATAAGCGTTATTGTCCACAAAAATAAACTGAGGTTACTACACCCTTGAGAAGGCGAACATACAAGACTATACACGAGATCATAAATTGCTTTATGAAAGTTGTTTATTAATCTGTTAAGTATATCTCTTTAATCACAAATATTCTTTAAATGCCTACATAAATAACTGTAGTATGTGAATTAATTAATAATTCAAATTATTATTAATTAATTCACATAATGATTTCAGGACATAATCCATGAAAATGTCGGTTTGAATCAGTAGTAGTGGTTAAGTGATTTTGTTTCTGTGACTGGCAATTAAGTCTTATTCAACTTTTTTTTCCCCTGTAATCTTTCCAAAAGCTAAAGCTGGGTGAAATCATATTGGCTCATAATACTCCATGGCTAATAGATATTTTTTTCTTTCCTTTTTTTTTTTTTTTTTTTTTTTTTTTTTTTTTTTTGTGTGTGTGTGTGTGTGTGAAAAAAAATGGTACCATAAAAGCTTTGATTATTTGTTGATCAGTACCGAGCGCCGAGCGCCGCCTGAGATAACCACTGACCTGACTTTGTTGTAAAACTCTTACTGTGTTAATAGTCATCCTGGCAGAAGGGAAAATTTCCTCCGTGTAAAAATATACATATAAATATTACATGGGCATACAAGGCCTGTGTATAAGCATAGATATGTTGATTACAACCATTGTCTTGTACAAGTTACATATGATAGATACATAAAATCATGACAGCTATGTGTACATTTAAACATTATATGAATTCATATTTGCAATACTTTTACTGAGATAATCAAATTAAACTTGTAATTCATTTACACATTGACTGGATTTTCAATATCATTTAAACTGCTTTACAATATTATTTTTATCAAGTACATACAAACTGGATAGTAATATGCTTACATTACAATAGTTTTGCTCTTACAGTCCTGTTAATATTTTACGGGGTGAGCTATTTTCCTAGTGCTGATATTCATTTGTTGTAGTGTTTTGAATTGCTATTAAAATTATGCTGCGAAGATACAATTCTCAAGAGAGGGGGAGAATTTCTTAGTATCTTGCTGAGCAAAGCCTGATTACCTCCTCTATTTTAGTTTTCGTCTGCTTGTTGCCGCGGGTATTCTCCGCCCATTGCGGCCAGTATTCACTGCTTGGCATTTTTAAATGCAGTTTATCGGTTTGGGCAGTTTCGGTTGTGGGCAGTTGAAGAAGTGATCTGCATCACCTACCGCACCACATTCACACAAATCTGATGCTCGTACGCCGAATCTCTTAAGATAATGTGGGAAGAGAGATCATGGCCAGTGTAGAATTGAGTTTGTGCTCCGCTGTATGTACATTAACTTGAGCACGTGAACTTTTGGAAAGAACTTGTAGATTCTCCTCCCTGTGCTTTCCCTTTCCCATCTTTTCTGCCATTCTTGTAAAAGTCTATTGAGCGTGGTTTTTTTAAATAGAACTGCTGAACACTTACTGCGATTTCCAATCTACTGGAGTCATTGGCAGCAGATTTCGCAAGCAGGTCCGCCGCTTCGTTGCCAGTAATACCCACATGAGCTGGAATCCAGATCAGGATAGGTCTGTCATCTGGTGGGATACTTAGAAGAATTTTCTGAATATCTTGCACCAGAGGACTCCTTGTCTTGTGCCCTCGGATGGAATTTAAACTTGAGGCAGAGTCGCTATATATGTTGATCTTTAATCTAACCGTATCAATCCTCGCACAAGTTTTGTATTGTAGCAATGGTCGTACTACTTTTGTATAGTGTAGTGTTTGAGATTGCTTCGTAATTCCAACAACAACTTTTTAAAACTTTATACAGAATATTGTCATTGCTCACCTCAAGTAAGAATATTTGCTGAATATTTCTAACAGTTTAAAAATACTATCGAACAGGTTTTCGAAGTTCACAAAATATAAATGTTGTGACTCTGGAAAATTTTTCTTTGGGGAAAACGAAGGACAAAGTACATTTCACAGAAAGCGTTGTTACTAGAATGAATATTGTCAGTTTTTCTGTTGTAATTAAAAGTACACTGGTGTGCAAAACTTAAGTAACAATGTAAATTTTAATCAGATAGCCATGAATTGCAGAAAACGGGGTCTTGCGACCAGTACAATGAACACGCAATTCAGTAGAAAGGTCATGCGTATGCAAATGTCAGGAACAAAACGTCACAGGCGATGTCAGCTTACGCAAAACGCGTGCGGTCGGCGCGCTCACCTCAAGACTGCAATATATGGAAGGACGGAGACGCAGTTACATTCGCCGCCAATAGAAATGAGTTCTTTTGTGAAATATGGCTACAAGAAATCACCTGGATGACTTCACATGTGAAGAATGATCGGAAAGCTGGGGAAGGGGCGTAGTATGACCAGTGTAGCTGAAGAGTTCGGAATCAACAAAAATGTCGTTTCAAGCGCTTGTAAACCATAGGTACAGCTGTTAGAAAGGTTGGTGGCCGTCCCAGGAAAACACCTGCAGTGGATGACCGATATATCGTCCTGCAGGCGAAAAGAGCCCGAAACCAGTCAGCAAGCGCCATAGCTCAGCAACTGTGTACAGCAACGGGACGACAAGGCCGCGGTTTACTGTGTCCAGATGCCTTCACAAAGGTGGTCTATTCGCCCAGCGTCCTGAACACTGCACCCCTTTGAAAGTTGGCCATCAGCGACACCGTTTAGAGTGGTTCAAGGAGCACAAAAACTGGAAATGAAGTCGTCTCCTCTTTACGGATGTTTAAGTCCCACAAGCGATTCTCAACGAAAGTTAATTTGGAGACAGGTCTGAACACGGTTTCATCCCAGTATCATCACGGAAAGAGAGTCTAGAGGTCTCCTCTGGTCCTGGAGTTCTCGTTTGGGGAGGCATTATGCTGAACGGGTGGACAGAACTCCTCGTTTTCGACAGAGGTTCTGTAACCAGAGATCGCTATTGTCAGGAGGTGATCCTTTCGCATGAGCGTCTGTTGCAAGGTGCCATTGGAGCAGACTTCGTTTTTATGGATGACAATGCACGGAGATAACCGGATTCCTGCAGTTCAGAAGCTATTGTAAAGTGAAGATATCACTCAAATGGATTAACCAGCGTATTTCTCCTGATTTAAATCCCATAGAACATATGTGGGATGTTTTGAGAGAACGCCTTGAGGCGCGATTACATCCTCCGGGGAACGCCGAACAACTGAAACAGATACTGATTGAGGAATGGACACTCTTACCTCAAGATCTGTTGGCCAATCTGGTGCTGAGTATGGAAAGACGATGCGAAGCAACCATTGCAATAAGGGAAGGGCATATCCCATACTAAGGAACATCTGCTTGTTGTTCTTCCTCTTATATAGACAACCATGTGTAACGCTAAAGACCTTTCTTTTGTTTGATTCAATATTGTAGGCATAGTATTCATTTTTGCACAACTATGCTTTCGTCATCGTTTAAATACAAAAAACTTGTTACCAAACATTGATATATACTGGTGTAATGTAATGCTCACAAAATTCCTTCAGTTCCAATCAGCCAGTGTTGCCAATATCAGAACATAAAAATGCCCATCGGTCAGATTGACCCGATATATATATATAGGTGTTAATAGTGATTACTGAAACTCGATAGTCGACAAACATCCTCTTTTTCATCTTTCGATATCATTTATAAATAAAATATATTCTAGTCATCTCCAAGAGGAATCAACTGCTTTTAATGTTGCCGATCAAAATTAATTTACTTTTTAATGTAAAGATTTAGGAAAAATACAGGCAATATAATCAGTTTATAATATAATCTTCCAGGTTTAAATTGAATAAAGATCAAGTTCTGCATGCCTTGCCAACTGTGGACGTCCGGGGTACTGCACTGGAAAAAGACTGCCCACTGACAGTAGATTTTCCTTGTCGGCCTAAGAAATATAGAGCATATAGTGGATACTGCAATAATGTACAAAACCCTAGATGGGGAAATGCCAACACCGCTTATGTTCGATATTTAAGTCCTGAGTATACAGACAGTAAGTATAATACCTGATTTTTTATTTAATATGTGTTAACTATTTTCCCATATTTCTCATATTTTCACAAATTAGATTCTTCACAACGTGTAAGAAATTTCTGATGAAGCACTGATTAAGCAAAGAAATAAAAGTGAATAAGACTTCGGAGAAGACGTGTTATTTACTCCAATAAATAGTAGTTCTTTTGTCGCTGCATTTTGTAATTCTTGTTTTTTTACATTCAAAGATTTATTTTTTTAAATCCTTAAATTAGAGAATGCTTTCATTTTATTAGTTCACTTTACAAAAATCCAAATTTATCGTGCGAAAACATCATGGATAAAGGTTTTGAGCAGAAAATATTGCATAAGGGAAACATGGTGATCGAAAAGCATGCAAGGAAAAAAACTCGCAGTTTGTTGAAATTCAGAAACATCGTGATCAGTACAACAGTTAATAAAATTTTTAACTTAGATTATGAAATTTAAAATCCTACAAGGTTATCTATTAAGAGTCATTGTTTAATTAATTATTTATTATTTTATTCTGTCAAACAAAGTTTTACCAAAATTTAAATAAAATACTTTTTTTATTTAAGTACTTTACCAAGTATTATTTGAATTCTTCTAAAATAGTATTTTACTAGAAACGTTACTGAACTTTCCCTTGAGCTCTTGTGATTTGTTTTCTCACTTTAATTAGATTCCTTATACATATGAAAAGATTACATATTTTTATTAATCCTATAAACACTGGTAATGTTCGATCATTATGTATTTAACTATTTTGAAGATGATTCTTTTTAACAGTGAGAAATTTTGTTGCTACTTTATTTTTTACCACGTTGTTTTAAACCGCGATGCTTTCGAATACCACTTAGCTTAGTACAACAATGTTAACTCTTTGCATTGTTCCTTCCACGATGCTTTTTCTAGTAAATATTTATTTCCGTTATTTATCTTGATCTTTATTTATTATTTATCTTTATTTTTTATCTTGATAGATGTGGCTCTTCCCCGATTGTCTTTTAAAGGTGGAAGCCTCCCTAGTGCTCGACAGGTTAGTCTTACTGTGCACTCGGATTCTGAAAGACCACATTCTCATCTCACTGTATTCCTTGCCATTTTTGCCGAATTTGTGTTCCATGACATATTCCACACAACACAGACTGCTGGTAAGTATAATGCATGTGATAGTTAGGATAACATATCATTAAAAATATTTTCTGCAAAAGATATGTAATTAAGCAATGCGCATTCTAATATTTCATTAGGTTATCGAGGCCATAGAATACGTTGCTGTGGTGTTCCGCCTAATTTCCTGCACCCTGAGTGCTATTCAATCACAGATAACTCCACGTCAAACAAGGAAGACTTATGTGTTAATTATGTACGTTCTTCCAATGCTCCACGTGCTGGTTGCACCTTGGGTCCACGAGAGCAAATCAACCAAGTGACTTCGTTTCTTGATGGATCTGCTATTTATGGTTCATCAGAAGAAGAAGTGCGTCGCTTAAGAGCCTATAAAAGAGGATTAATGAAAACTCAAGAGGATTTAGACCTTTTGCCCCCAGATATTTCTAATCCTCATGACTGCAGAACTTCAACTAGGCATAAGTGCTTTCTTGCAGGTAATTCATGATGTTTCCTGTTCATGTGCTTTTTGTTTGCTGTTTAACTACGATTAATACTGATGTTTTTGTTGGAGTGCTTCGATTGAAGATTTAGTAAGATAAATGCCAGAACAAAGCATTTTCGAAGTGAATTGATCCTTGTATGCATAATTTAAAAAACAAAGGATGCATTTTACATTTGACCATTATTTCGACAATAATTTTCTTTTTCATATAAAGCATCTTGTTTTACATACAAGGCAGTCTTAAGTTAATTAATATTTATGCTATCATACAGTAATATATTTGAGTGCCGCCCAAACGGTATACTAATTTGTGTTGTTGACTGCCGTACCGAAGAATTCGATTTCCGGAGAAGTCATGGATGTTTATAGATTTATAGTGTCCGTGCGACATGGGGGCATTCTAAATATGCGAAGAGCCGAAAGTCCTCTCGGGAGGTTGATGGTAGGGAAAAAGGGATTGGAGACCCTCGGACTTGTTCCCCCCAGGGTGCTTCATTCAAATTTGGGGCGAAACTAAGCTAAAACGCACTGTTACTTGTAAGGTGCTCAAGGCTGTTACCAACGATAGGCATATCTTGCAGTCCTTGCCTCTAGGAATTTCGGTGGCTTGGAGCGACTAGAGGTCATACATATGAGCATTAGTCGACAACAATAACAACAAATATATTTGAGTTTTAGAATGGCTTTTAATTATTTCAAAAAAATTATTCAAAATGATTGATTAATATCAGATGAATATAATTCTTTACTATCACTCTCTATACAATATTCTGCGAAGATTTCGTTTATGAGTAAGATGAATAGTGATTTGTTCGTTCCATGTTTACTCACAGGCCTATACTATCTCAAAAACTGTACTATCACTCACTATTTTGGATACAAAATAGTGAATATGCTTTATCAAAATATGCTAGAGCAAGTACGGCATATATATGATTATCATCTTAACATTGTTCATCTAACGAAGTCATAGATAACACTAATAATTTAACAGTTTTTCTTGCATATCATATGTAACATCTCATTTTGTATTTGTGAATTTCAGAAATAAAAGCATTTGAAACTGTACCAATCATATTGAATAATCCTATATTAGAAGTTTCCTGGGAAACTCGGGTGACTGGTGGAAGCATTAGTAATAAGACTGTATCAAAATGACAAATTTATATCTAAACTTTTGCACGTAGGGCTTGAACTAAATACGATGATAATTATCTTTTCAAAAAAGGATATATAAGTATCTATCAACAATTCAAGGGAATGTAGACAGATATCCACTATATTTCTCTTCGAGTTATTCATTTATACGATGGAGATATTTCATGTGATTTTTGTTTTAAATTATCATTCAAAAAGATATTTTTGCAGACTTGACAAAGTTGTAGAATTAGCATTCCGAAACAGCTTTTGAAACAAATACAAAAATGCACTGCATATGTTATAGGAAATGTATTAAGCTAAATGAAAATGCACTGATTAAAAGCACTTTAAAATGGACCAAAAAGACTGACTCGCCCTATCCTCCGATTTAAATATTTGCATGAAATAATTGTTAATTACTGTCTCGTTCCCGTTAAAAACTTCATATTAATTATCTTAAGTTCACACTTATCCGAAATTGAACTGGCTATATTTTCAGCAAGATTATTTCCCTGGACCTTCTAATAAAGAATTCTTTTGTGCGAATCACACATTATTTAGGAACTGTTACCTGTTCCTTTTTCAACTGCAGTCGATTTATAGCCGAACTTCAATTGCAGGCGATTTTATTGCATATATTCAAGTATTCGCGAAGTAAAACCGGTACAGCTGTCTCTAAAATACTGAACTAAATTATGAAATTAAAATACATGAACAAATATCTTTGGTTTATGATTTATAATTTGGTTCTGCGCAAAATCTTTTTAAATGTGTGCCTTATGTTTTGTATATCACTTCTGTCACCTCTGTCACTTCCATTCAAATTAATGTACCGTAAAATTTTTATGCAAGCAGTGAGTAGCGGTTAAGGAATAGAAATATGTTGTACTTTCTGTGAATTAAATTTAAAATTCGGGAACATTATTAGAATTAAGTAATCTGTTCATTGTACCGTTCCCCTTCTTTGGAATTCCAACATCTATTAAGTCTTATTAAAATAGTATTTAATAATGTTTCAAAGAAAGAGTTGCTGATATTTAGCGTACATGCTGTACTTATGATGATTACCTCTGTCTTGAATGTCAATTTATTATACGTTTTATTTTATTAGCAATTTCCCTTAAACAGTTCTTTACAGTAACCTTATCTTGCTTTTATGTAGCAGTTATACACTATTTGGGCGCATTATTTTCGGATACCATATGTACTGCTCATGACATTTTGAAAATAATTTTTAATAAAATATCCATGTGCTAAAATTTTCAGGCTTAAAATTTAATGCAAATGAATGAGAATATATAGGACTTTCGCAAGAAGGAAAAAAAATGTTTTAAATAATTTGCTGGTATTTTCAACAAATCTGGATCGTCAGTCATCCAATTTCTTTGCTGCAATTTTAGAACTTAATGGCCAATGAATTGGCAAAATGGCAAAAGAGTGATTAGACTGGTTATTAACCAAAGTTGCGCGGAGACTCATACGTATTGTATCGAAGGAGATAAGAGACATCTTACGTTAGATTATGACAGATTTTAACGTGTAGGTACTTCGTCCAGTGTCTGCACAAGGACCCTTAGTCGGTAATCAACGCAATTCGGTTGTAATAGCCGACTGCCATCTCGGGTCTCCTTGATAGAAGGAAGACACAGATTATTGCTGATGCAATTTGCCAAAGGATGCCCCCTACTCTATGGCAAAAGATTTGAAATGTGTCATCTGGTCCGATGAATTGAAATTCCAGCTGCTGCAGTTACAGTTACAATAACAAGTATATGAAACACCACGACATCGTCATTGACAAAAATGGTATAGCCCACATATTCTAACTAACTAGAGAACTTCATTTCTTATGGGCACTCCAGTTCCAAGCTTTGGGCCTTTATTGGATATTATTAAATAGTTGCATTTTCCAGAATAGAACAATAGTTACATAAGGTGACATGACATTCGTGGGCTCATGGTACTTGTGCACAGATAGTTTAACAGGGTACAGGGAACTGGTTATGTAAATAAGCATAGTAATTAAATTAATTAAAATCCATAATTTTAAATACTAGCGGAGTTCAAAATACAGTATGAGAATACAAAATGCAAGAAGAGTATGTATTGAGAGGACTACATGTTTATGAGGTTGATGCTTTGGTATTGTGCATGTTTATGCATATGTAGTCTAGGATTCAAAGTTCAGTTCTTTGAATTGTGTGCACTAGTGGTTCAAAGTTCAAAGGTCAAGTTCAATTCGTTGAAACATATACGCTTTTCTTTTGTGGTAAGATTTATGGGTTCACAGTCGGTTCATTCATATTTTAGATGTGTACTGTAGTAACTGAAAACTCTCCCTTAGATGAATGACTTCCTTCTTTTTACTAGCTGCCGATGTCTCTGTGGTCTTGGAGGTAGTGTTTTCGCTTTTATGGCTGGCATAAATCAAGCTGGTACTGATGAACCTTGTCCATAGTTGCCTTAATATTGCTGTGAATGTGGTGATGCTTAATGAGGAATCTTTTAAATTCAATTTCGATGTTGGTAGGATGCTTGATATGATGGTTGTATGTTTGTGAGTCAGCAGGCAATGAAACAGGTAATGATCTGCATCGTTACCTGTTTCATTGCCCGCTGACACTGCATACACATATGTCCGTTGTTGACGGATTTCTCTCGTGGAAGTATGTTCCAGCTGCTGCAAGTGGGTGACAGAATTCATGTGTCATTTTAAATCACACTAAGCACTGCATCCCTAGTATCATGCAGGGTTTTAATGCTGGTGACGGCTAAGTAACTGTCTGAGGCATCTAAATATGGTCTTTTTTTGAGTCCTCACATTACTCTGAATGGAATTCTGATGAACTTGGGATATGTTAAACTGCTGATCATCTACACCCTTTTATACGTTTATTGTTCTCAAACAATGGTGCTGTAACGAATCGTTTTCTAAAGAAAGGCGGTTGATATAAAATTAAACTTCACCTTGTTATACCACCATGCATGGAATTTTCTTTTCAATGGCTATTGCAAATTTGCGTACTTGATGCAACTTTTTGTTATTGATACAACTCTGTGTCAACTCCGCAAAAGATCAGAGACCCCATCTACTGGCGAAAGGGGCAGACATTTCCTGGTAGACAGAGACCGATAATACAGGAAGAGATTTGAATTTAAAGCGATAGATCGGACGATGTGGTTCGTTGCTCCAGAGAGAGAAAAGATATATCTTTCTTAATGTTAATTAGTTGTACGTATTTTCTGTGCATACCAGAAATTCAATCTGTGTTTTATGGTCGGTGACATTACAGTGTGCTATTTAAAGCAGATATCGGTCACAAGTTGCCCAGAAATAGTTCAAAAAGCATATCAGTAAGACTGGATTACTTACCTGGCCTCCAAGGCCCAAAGAAATTATTCCTTTTGAATCTGAAGACGCTGTGGAAGAATCTTGTGACAATCTGCGAGCTGAAACGATATCTTTATTCTGTGGACTCATCACCATGATTTGTGACTGATTTAGGGCAGAAACCACAGAATTGCTGGGCGACAATGCCATCATCTCGCTTTTAGCATTTCATCGAATCCTTTCCCAGACGGACTGTTACCATTACAAAACAAAAGGTAGAATCATGCGAGTGTGTAATAATTTGTCTATATATATATATATAACAGAAAAAAGGACAAAATAATACATACATTAAGAAACTTGCAATAAATAATAATGCATTTTGTTAAAACGAACCAAACTCCGGACTGTAGACCTTCGTTTGAAATCCACTGATATCTTTCTATAAGTAAATGCATGATAAATGTAATACAAATTTGGTAAAGCATGAAATTAAATGTTTATTAGTTCTCTAAGTTATTTGAGGCAAGAAATCCACTAAATTTCCGAAATAAACTATCAAATAAAAAATGCAATAATAATTCTAAAAATAATCTGAAAGATTTCAGATTTTAGCGGTTGCCTAAAAGAATTTGTCAAGGTGTTTTACACTCTTGCTGAGCTCACAGTCTACTAGTCTTCTGTTGTATACACTCTTGCTTCCCCCCCCTTTTTTTTTTTTTTTGTCTTTTTAGCTTTAAGCATCTTTTTTGTACTTACCCCATATAAAATTCAACGGCGAAATCACAAAATTTTTAAAAGCTGCATAACAGCATATCTTTTGAATTCCCGGTGCAGTTTTAAGTGTTAGGATAATAAGTTTTCTTTCTTTTCTTTTTTTTTTCTTTTTATTTATTTATTTATTTATTTATTAGTATTTTCTTAGTTCATCATATCAATGTTCAGTTTTCTTAGCGAGACGGCTTACAAAACTTTTTTTTGTCTTTTTATTATTAACGTTTTGGATGTTTGTAAAGATCTTATTTTGTACTAATCAATTATTTTTTATTTTAAGGAACTTTCTTTTCCCTTCCGATTTTAATTTTCTGTCAGAAGGCAAATTGAAATGACGTATATGCAAATCTAAACGTGTTCGGAAATACTATTTAAGTAGCAGAATTCAAGAGTTCGCAGCAGAAGAGTTAGTTACGAGTTTATGCCGCGCTATTGTAAGCAGCTCTGTTGCTGAATATTTTGTGCTAGCCACTTACATTAATTTATATTGATATTCTAGAGTCCGCTTTGCTGTTTGCAGCCGATAAAGCTAGGCTGAAGCCCGCTTTTCATTGTTCAATGTTCATTGTTCAATGTCCATTGTAATTTCGCCGGTATTCGAAAGTTGGACCGAACTACCAGTGTTCAGGGGTTTTGAGCTTGTTCCCCCTGCTTTATTCCCGTGCGCATCCAGAAGATAATGCATACACGTTACACATGCGGAAAATCACTGAAACACACATAGAGTCAGCGTGTTGGCTGGGATTCAAAGTTGGACCGAACTACCATCGTTCAACGGTTTTGACCGGGTTACGCCCGCTTTATTCACGTATTCATTAAGCAGATACTCCGTATACGATACACATGCCTAAAATCACGAAAACACGCAATCAGCCAACCCGCTAGCCGGGATTCGTAAGTTGGACCGAATTACCAGCATTCAACGTTTTTTCGCGGGATTCATCCGCTTTATTCACCAATTCATCCAGAAGATACTGCATACACGGTACACATGCGTAAAATCCCGCAAACACCCATGGACCCAGCCCGTTTTCCGGGATTCGAAAGTAGGACCAAACTACCAGTGCTCAGCGGTTCTGCGTGGACTGCGCCCGCTTTACTCGCATATGCATCCAGAAAATACTGCATACACTATACACATGGGGAATATCACGAAAACACCCATACAGCTAGCCCGTTAGCCGAGATTCGAAAGTTGAACCGAACTACCAGTGTTCAGCGGATTTGCGCGAAGTTCGACAGCTTTATTCAATTATGCATACGCGTAAAATCCCGCAAACACCCACGGACCCAGCCCATTTGCCCGGGATTCGAAAGTAGGAGCGAACTACCAGTGTTCGGCGGTTTTGCGCGGGCTGAGCCCGCTTTATAAACGTGTGCATGCACAAGATACTGCATACACGTTACACATGCAGAAAATAACGAAAACACCCATGCAGCCCGCTTGTTCACCGGGATTCGAAAGTTTGACCAAACTACCAGTGTTCAGTGAATTTACCGCTCAGCCGCGAATGTGCCGTTGTATAAAGTGTAATCGCGAAAATTATCGCATTTATTATTGAAACAGTACATTCGTTATTAAAATTCCTATATTTTTTATAAACTTCAATATAATCACACACAAAATTATATCAATATATATATTAATGCAATTAATAATTCATAATTATTTATAATAAAAAAAGTTTTCATATACCATCTTCAAGGAAAATATATTCAATTTAAAACCCCGAACGGAACTACCAGTGTTCAGTGACTTTACCGCTCAGCCGCTAATGGGCCGTTGTAGAAAGTGTAATCGCGAAAATTTTCGGGTTTGTTTATTAAAACAGTATATCCGTTATTAAAATTCCTTTACTTTTTATAGCGTCAACATAATCACACACAATATTATATTAATGCAATTAATAATTCGTAATTATTTCTAATAATAAAAGTTTTCATATACCATCTCCAAGGAACACACATATTCAACTTAAGACCCTGAACGAAAAAAAATTTTAGTCAAAAATTAAATTACTATTTTAAATAGTAATTTCAGTTTCTCTTTTAAAAATCTGTAAAGAAAATATTTAATCTAAAAAAGGAAAAAATCAAAAGTAAGTTTTAAATATTGAAAAAAAAAAAAAAAAAAAAAAAAAAAAAAAAAACATAACAGAAATATATAACACGATACGTAAATTAAGTGGACGTACCTAAAACCATGAAAAAATATATCATTCGGAAAAATTAATTATTCCAAAGCATAATAACATATTTTAAAAAAATAGCGCTTTCAGATTTTTTAATTAATATCTCAGCTGTTGAAAGTTATAGAACTTCAAGAACGTCATCATTTTAATTTAATGTAATATAACAACTCTTACTCAATATCAATAAAAAAATTAACATGGCAATAACATATCGTGTCAATTATCCTAACCTGAAATTAATAAAATAGCAAAAAGTAGCTGTTTGTTTAAAATACTGACATAACCGAAATATTTTCAACTTACAATGAGGTAACATGCAATCGCGTACTTTATTCAACTTCAGAATATAACCTTGATGTTTATCTTCAACACCTACCCAGAAAATGAGAGCGAAAAATAGCGTTTTCGCAGTTTTTAATTAATATCTCGGCTAATTAAATTCGTACGATGATGAGAATGGTATCAATGGATTCCCAGAATTTTTTCGAATCCGAAGATACCTGTCTTGAATTCCAACTCAGCGCGGTTCCATAGATATTTGGAAAAAGATGAAATTGACACGTGACCTTTTGCAGCATAAATCTCCAGCGGAAGCAATTCCCCTCCCCCGGCGCTTCCGAAAAAGCAATTTTAACTCAGCTAATTCCGAGACAGTTGCCACTCCGAAAAATGAAATAATGCTTTCGCAGTTTTTAATTAATAACTCCGCCGATTATTGTCGCACGAAGATGAGACCGGTATCGATGGATTTGTTGATTTTTTTCGAATACGGTGATATGCGTTTCGAATTCCAACTCCTCTCCGTTCCCGAGATATTCCAGAAAAACGAATTTGGCACTCAGCCAAATCCCTAAAATAGGGGAAACCCGTGAAAGAAAGTGCAAAACGTAGGGGGAAAAAGCAGTTTTTAATTAATATCTCGGCTGATTAAGGTCGCACGAAGATGCCGATGGTCAATATGGCGAGCCACGGGAATTCCGAATCCAACGGTACCTTCCGCTAAGTTCTGCACCCAGCCGTTCCCGAGGAGATGATGTTACAAACACACAAACACACAGACAGACGCGCACAGATTTTAATAGTATAGACACGCGCACAGATTTTAATAGTATAGATAGATTTAGATTGAAGTAGGAGCCAGTCGTGTAGTTAAAATTTAATTCATTCTGACTGTATATACTATTTTTGTTAAGCTACTTAGTCATAAGTGGTGGGTAAATGTCTGCAAATGTTTTACAGGTGATGTCCGAGTCAACGAAAATGTTGGACTGATGGTGATGCATACTCTGTGGATGAGAGAGCACAATCGTATCGCCCGCCAGCTATCAAATATCAATCCACAATGGACAGATGAACAGCTATTTGAGGAAACAAGGAGGATTGTGGGAGCAGAAGTAAATAATTAGCAAAATTACACCTATCTTTTAGGTATAATAATTTCAAGAAGTCGAATGACTCGAATCCGAAATGTAAAATATTAAAAGAGTTATGTAAATTTTAAAAGTAAGGAAATTAAATTAATATTTTAAATAAAAACTTTTTATAGGTGTATAGTTTAAAAGCAGCTTTCATCAGTGCAGCTCTCGTTGAATAATTTTTTAGGCTATGGAAACAAATATCGACAAATGAAGTATTCTGTCTGTATTAATATACTTTTTGTTATCATTTCAGCTGCAGCATGTGGCATATTCAGAGCTGCTCCCAGCTTTGTTAGGTTCCCAAGTAATGAGGCAATTCGATCTTCAGTCAAGGAAAGATTCCACCTTCTATAACGGATACGATATTAATCTTAATCCCGGGACTTCGAATGCTTTCGCTGCAGCTGTGGGCGCATCATTCTATTCCATGATGCCATCTCATTTCTTCCTTTATGCACAAAATTTAGGTAACAGAGACAGAAGTCTTCCAGAGCACGCTACTGTGGGATCAATGCAGATCAGTGAAACACATTTTTTTCCGCAGCCTTTGTATCAAAAGGAAGCTTTGGACCAATTCTTGTTGGGAATGACCAACCAAAGAGCTCAGTCAATGGATGAGTTCATCACAAGAGAAATGAATAATAATCTCTTCGATGAACGTGACAGAGGTATGTCGAGTGTCTTATAATCCTTAGATTTAATTTACAAAATTAGCATATAAATTAGTGTGGAACTGCATCAGAGCTATTTTTAATCTCAGTAGTATATCTATATTTCTCCTAAGCAGATTCTCAAAAGGAATAGATTTATATGCTGGACTAATAAGGAGAAATTCTTCGAAATTAAGGGAATCGCAAAGTACGGTAAAGCAAAACTTTTGAGAATTACATTACCTTAGACAGGTTACTTACTATCAGGATACTTTGGCTAGGCTTTGGAAGTGAAGCTAGCTTCTGTAATTATAATAGCAACGTTTAAAAATCATCGAAATTGATTTTTTTAAGCTGTTGTACTCTTTAAATACTTTCAAGGAGGGGGATGACGCAATAACTCTTCCTCACAGAATATTTATTACCTAATTTAAACTGAGCTGATTATTAATTATATTTCATAATTTCCTTCTGAAGGTATGTGCCGACCAGCAGCCGAGTATTTGAACGGTGGTAGTTCGACTTGGGTTAGAATCCCAGTGAACACGCTGGCAGCATAGTTAGCTTTCGTGGTTTTCCGCATACACAACGTAAATAAGATCCAGTTTCCCTTAAAGTGTCCTCCAGGAACGCATCCTTCAATTTAGCCCTTGAGATGCTTTGCCTTATTCAGTTAACCTAACCTTCCGAAGGCACTGTTCTACTTGTTGAGCTCGGTACGGATGAGCGTTATTGTTATGATGCAAAAGTTCCTTCTGTTATGATGTAGCCGCATGAGAATGTTCTAGATTGCTTTCTGTATGCTTCTAAGCATCTGATGTTCTCACTTGCCAATTCGTGAAGATCTGCGCTTCCATTTAGAATAATGCCATTTTAACCCACACAAACAAAATCTGTTCCTTGTAACGTGTCTTTGACGAACATCATTGAGAACTCGCATCTACCTTATTTGACTCATCAAACTAGGCTCGGAATCATTTAAAAAAAAAAAAATCTGGAAAATCTTTTAGCCTTTACTAATAATAAGTTTTTATACTGATGGTATTCCAATCAATCGATTTTTCCTGTGAATGAAATGATAATACAAATATTGCTGCCTACTAAATCAGAAACGTAATAGAGGCCGACATATTGCTACTATTAGTTCCTAGACGATAGAATCTTAATTAAATCAGTTTCATTTGGTTAGTTATGGTAATGTAATAGAGGTCTATCTGTTCAATGCAGAAAGTTGTTGTCTTGGAGAATCTAGGAAAAATTTATTTGTAATTGACATTCGTTAGTTATTCGTGGGAAAAACTAGAAGAAACTTATGCAGTCGGACTATTTAATATTCTGTAAACAAAACCGTGCTAATTACCAAGGTTTTTGAGGATTTCGCTCTTCGACTGGTTGGGGAATGTTGTTATAAAGGATTGGTAGTCTCGTTCTTTCATGCAGTTCATCGTAAGTATCATTTTGTATATGCATGGTTATCATTTTGTATATGCCTTAAACCCTCCTTAACTGAGTTTTCGGCATGAATTCCACAGTTAGAAATTTTATTTTCCACCTTCTACGAAATATGACTCTGGCTCATCCTGGCCAATGTACTCTAACAATTTGTTTTGCAAATAAAGTTTTGAGTTTACGTTAAAAGCGCAAAATACTACCATCCAACTTCCAAATACCTTTTTCATATGCTTTAACCGATTAAGTAAATTAACATAACCTAGACTAATTCACATACAGTGTATTGATTCGACAATATTTATCGGATACATATGCAGATTTAATAACTTGTTGCATATTTTTATGCTAGTTACTATTATTTTTCTGAATATTTCAAAATTTACGCAAACTCGCATGTAGATCGGAATTAAATCCTAGCCAGTGTTTTCAGACATTCATCAACTCTACATTGTCGTCCAATATAATCGTTATTAGCCACATATGGTCAATAAAACATTGAATGTTGCTACTTGGATCAAAGGGCATTTTAAATTTTAATTTAAATCAGTCAAATATATAAAAAAGACATATATTTTTACCATTATATGCAAATGAAATTTTGACGTTTTGAAATTATGTTCCTTTTGCTATATATGCTATAAAAATATCTCTATGTGTAAGTGGACCGATTTAGTGATGTATATGCTAGCCAATAAAAATGAAAAATAAAAATAGGATAAACCAATATTTCAAGCAAATCTATCTTTTTATTACGAAAAGGCTAAAAGACATTAATTACTGCACTTAGCCATCGTCTTTTAGAGCTACGGACATCATGCCCATTATATTGCACATTGTGTTCAAAGGGCTTCTGGCTGGTCTGTAACCGATACTTTAGCCGCAGATACTAGTGCGTTTTTTCTATCCGAAGCATGCCGGCCTACTAAATGATTTGTAAAAGCACTAACAATTAAATCCCAACTTTAATGCATGTTTCTGCATCTACCCAATATTTTCTGCACTGATTTTAACTATTGCATTATTTTTTATGCATAGCGTTTCAGCGATTTTTGTTTAGACTAATAATTTTCTTTCAAAATGCAAAGGAAACGTTTGAATGATTTTTGAAATTTCAAACGAAAAAGGCATCTTGTTTCGATCATTGAACAAGCATAGACTGATGTACGAGTATGTAACAACCGCCATATCTTCGAATGTATGCATGTGACGAACATAATATTTATATTGGGCAACAATGACCTGTAACTTCGAAAGAACACGATCAGCACAGAGTCGTTATAATATGAATTCCTTTGGAAATAAAGTGTCTATCTCAGTTTCAGAGTTTTACCGAATCTAAGAGATAAGATTCAATCAGCAGACGAATAACTAAGTTAGATGACAGAGGATAACAAATGACAAAAATATTATCAGGACAGTGTGTTTCAAAGAAAAGAGCAGAATAAAAGTAAAGCGATTTCTTTCATAATAAAGAGTATTTTCCAAGTTTACTCAGGCATTTTAATTTAACTAATATGGTACTCTTCTGTTACCGGAACCGGATTCAAAAATGTATGTACGTATGTATGCACGTGTGTATGTATGTGTCTGCGTATATGTGTACACACACGTACATAAGTACGTACATACCGCGTGGCCAAATTAAACTGACAGTGCTCACAGTGTTCTGTAGCGCGATCTATTTGCGAGAATGTCGCCACATTTTGTAGGAAGATTAAATAAGACGAGGGACAAAGGATCCCGCGAAAAAAAAAAAAATAGTTCCAAAAGTCACCGCTAGGAGAATATTTGGCGCTGTGTAATAGAAAATAGAGTGTTAACAAATGCAAATTAATACGGAATAAAATTACCTTTTATTATGGATAGGATTTATGGAATATGGATATGCCTTACAGTACGGTATGGAAAATCTTACGAAAGATTATCAACTTTTATCCGTACAAGATCAGCCGTGTACAGGAGTTACTGTACCCCGACCATGATAAGCGATTGACTTTTGCTCTCACCTTTCTTGCCAGAATGGAGATGGATGATGCTTGGCCGGGATGCTTGGCCGTGATGGATGATCTTATGGGGAGACGAGGCCCACTTTTACCTGAATGGAACTGTGAATACCCAGAACTGCCGAACTTGGGATGACAAATCACCACATGCAGTCACAGCAATTCCCTTACATTCACCAAAGGTAACTGTTAGGTGTGGGTTCACAGCGGAATTTATCGTAGGTCCATTCTTCTATGAGAACATTACCCCGACAGGACCGGAAACCTGTTCTGTTACCGGAGAGAAATATCGCCACATGTTGATCAGCTTTGTCATTCCGGCACTTCAGCAAAGACAACGCCTGGGGAAAATCATTTTCATGCAAGATGGAGCCCCTCCACATGTTTCTGTACGGGTGCAACAGATGCTACGACAGTAATTCACAACAGAAAGAGTCATTAGCCGCTACTTTCCAACTGCATGGCCACCTCGGTCGCCTGATCTTACCCCATGCGACTTCTGGCTATGGGGTTACCTTAAGTCCAAGGTCTGTCAAGGAGTGGTCCAGGACCTGGCTACGTTGAAGGATAACATATCACGGACTGTACGGGAGATTTCTGCAGACATGTTACTTTCTGCTGTTGTGCATACTGTGCACAGAATGCAATATGTGGTCCACAACAACAGCAGCCACATTGAACCTCATTTGAATGCAAAATAAAAGGTAATTTTCCAATTGATTTGCATTTGTTAACACTCTATTTTCTATTACACAGCGCCAAATATTCCCCTAGCGGTGACTTTTGGAACTATTTTTTTATTTCTCGGAATCCTTCGTCCCCGGTCTTGTTTAATCTTCCTACAAAATGTGGCGTCATTCTCGCAAATAGATCGCACTACAGAACACTGTCAGTTTAATTATGGCCACCCGTTACATACATAAATACATACATCCATTTATTCATGCATAGATACATACATTTCTGAATTCGGTTTCGATAATAGAAGAGTATATATAATTTTTACTACGAAGTTAGTTTTAATTCATGTTTTATTACTTATAAAAGAAGAATAAATGTGAAGAATTTTATAAATGATAAATAAGTAAACTTCTTTTACCTTATAAAAAAGCCTTATATTCCTTTTACTTATAGATGCAAAAGATGACGGTTATATGGATTTGGCAGCATGGATTATTCAGCAGGGCAGAGATCATGGTATTCCTAGTTATTTAGAATGGCGAAATGTGTGCAGATTATCTCCTTCTGTTCACAATTTCACCCAGCTCCGGCAGATAATGACCAGCAGTGCAGCTCAGAAAATCCCACAAATTTATAAGTAAGTACAGTTCTGACAATTTCGTCCAAAAGTAACACATTTCTTATTTTGCTACTTTTTCTTATTTTGTTACTTTTGGGCAATAGCCCAAAAGGTAGTCTTGGTAATCTTTACATATCTATTAAATATTAATTCCATTATTAGAAACTTTTCTACATTAGAATGATATTTTGGCGTAAAATGAGCTATGACGTAAGATATGGAAAACTCACGGAAACTTGATATGATTAACTTTTAATGTATTGCTATAACAATTTAATATGGTTAACTTGTACCAGTTGTCCCACAGAAACGCAGTTCATTGATTAGTATTCAAAAAAAAAAAAAAAAAAAAGAATCATTTACATGCATTTTTCTTGAACCTTCTGAATAAAGTCGTCACCGTATTCTGCAAATTTTTTAATCTTTACGAACGAGGCGCAATTCAGTTAAAATGATAAATAAAATAATTAAAACAGCAACGCTTGAGAAACAAAAAATCGCCACATGTATATAACTTGAAGTACAATTAATATCATAGAAGTTGGTTTCTGGAAAGCGACTCAAGAAGAATTATTGGTCATTGTTTGCTTTTAATGCACCACTAATGCAGAGAGCTGCTACTCTTTTTGTGTATTGCATCTTAGTTTTGGAAAAGGAAGAATGAAATTATTCATTAAATTATGATAAGACAATATCACAGTATGAAAACACAATCATTGCCTTTTTAGACGCATTTTTTTTATCATACGAGTATCAAGATCAATAGATTTTCTCGTAGGAAGTTCGATTCTAGATTCCTTTTTCTTATAAGGCTTTTTAACAACGAACTTCCCGTCACGAGATTATCTTTAACCAAATATTTGCAACAACAACGAACTGAAGTTCGAACAATCACGGCTATAAAAATGATTAACCACAAGATTAATCACAAACACATAAGAACACATTATTCTTTGCTACTTCAAAATATACCAAGAAACATTTGCATTTATACCTGTTTATCAATTTACATTCCTTCATTCACATATACACACTGCTGGCCATTAAAATTGCAACACCATGAAGGAAAGCAAATACAAAAAAAGATATTTATTGTACGTAAACAGTATGGCATGAAGATAAAATGATTAGATTTGTAAGCAGTTTGGTGTTTTACAGAGGTGCGAAATTAGTAGAAAAAGCTGCCACCCTTAGTATCTAAAACGGGCCTTACTTGGTTAGGCATGCAGTCGAACTGGGTTTAGATGACAGAAACGGGCAACTCATTCCATGCTGCTTCAAGTCTATGCCACATTTCATCAACCCGTATTAGCTGGAGAAGGGTGGCGGACCGATCTCTCAGCAACCCATGACTAGATGTTTTCAATGGGTGACAGATCTGAACACCGTGCAGGTCAGGGCAGCAATCGAATACCATGTGTATCGAGGAAGGTCAGAACATGGCAAGCAACATGTGATCTTGCATTTTCTTGTTGGAAGATGGCGTTTGGCAGACCTCAAAAATAGGGAACAACCACTGGACGTAAGATGTCAGAAATGTACCGATCTGCATTCAAATTACCGTCGATCCAAGCTAAAGATGTGCGTATCGTGCATCCAATGGCTGCCCAAACCATTACACTAGGTGCAAGGCGCCTATGCTGATAGCAAGTGAGTGACGTGCGGCCTCCTCGGAACCTCCAGACACTTATACGGTCATCAGAATACTGCACGAAGAACTGTTACTCGTCTGTAAAGACGACATTGTGCCACTCCTGTATCGAGCTTTGTTCTTCGGCGCATCAGAGTCGCCGTTTCTGTCTATGCTGCATTGTCAAGGGAAGCCGAAGTAATGATTATCGTGTTGAGAGTCTACGCGGCTGCAAACATGGACGCACCATACGAGCGGATACTAGGCGTTCTGCAGACATGCCCATTTCTTGACTAATCTTCCGTGATGTAGTTGTACGGTTTTGCAGGGCTGACCTCACAATATGTCTGTCCTCTCGGACATTAGTCATAGGAGGGCATTGAGATATTGCATGTCGTTTAATATGACCCTCAGCAACCCATTGATTCTATATTCGCATGACAACGATTCGAGGCAACTATCCTGCCTCTAACGCATGCCGACACTTGCTGAAAAGCATTTCTTCTTATTATTCGAGACATAACAGGATATTCTGAGCAAACTTCGACCTTACAAAGAACGAGAAATCCACTACACAACTTTTCTTTTATGCAGATCTTCAGATGTCGTTTTTCCCTCCTGCATTGTCTAAATGCGCTGAAATACCAATCATTTGCATATTCCAACCTCTTCTTCTTTCCATATGATGTGACGTTCGTCAGATCATTTCTTCCTGGTGTCATGATGATGGCAAAATGATCTAGATGTAAATGCAGATTTAATAAAAGAAAGTCCGAAACTGGCCAGAAAACTTAGCAATAATCTTATCAAACATTACCCTAAGCGTCTTATTCTTGGCAGCATCTTACAGCGAATCTTGTAGCGGCTTCTTGAAAATACGAACATAACAATTAATAATTAAATTCGTTTGTAAAAACCGATGAAACATAAATTCTGGAAGATACTCTTGATTTAAAAAAGAGATCACAGCAAGAATTTCAAGAGGAAAAAGACTATGTCCACAGCATTTGTAATGACAGCGGTGACGTTCCCTTCGTACGCAAACGTATACGCTGTTTATTGTCAGAAGTGAAAATGAGCAAAGTTTTTTTATGTTTAAAAAAGTCTTTCTTTTTTTTTTTCTTTTTTTTTTTTTTTTTTTTTTTTAATGAATAAATCTTGTTTTTTTTTCATTTTCAAATGCAAATTTACTATTTAATTCACATTTTTATGATATAGTAGTTTGTGAACATGTGTAGTTTGTTGAAATAAAATTATATGCTTAAAGCGAATACTTTCTGACGTTTTGTTTTAATTATTTTTGCTGATTGTTTAGATCCGAAACTAATCTTTTTCTCTCCCATAAATACAACTTTGTTTTACATGTATTCTTCAGCCATTACATATATATATATCTGTGGTATAAAAATAGAATGAAATAGATTTTCTTTCTAAGATGGTAAAACTAATACATAAACTTTGAGTTTATTTCATACTTCAGGGATGTTCGAGACATCGACCTTTTCACTGGAGGTTTATCGGAGAAACCTTTGATAGGAGGAGTAGTGGGACCGACCTTTGCTTGCATTCTTAGTCGTCAGTTCCAACATCTAAAACGAGGAGACAGATTCTGGTATGAGAATGATGTGCCACCAAATGCCTTCTCTAAAGGTGAGACTTTTGTCCAATGTTGTTAATTTTATAAAAATTTAGAGAAGAAAACAGTCGTTAAAAATTCTTTTAAGAAACATTAAAACAAACTCTCCTGATAACTAAGTATGTATTCACTTTTCATGCTTTGTTAAAAATCCTGATAAGTGAAAACTTTAGTCAGATCATTATTTGTATGAGAAGTTCTAGCCGTATGTGACATTTATCAACATGCTTAATTTACACACTAACTTTCCATTTTCTCAATTTTATTCTCGACAGTACAATATTTGTAAGCTTATCAAAATAAATTTTACACTTCATAGGTATGATAATATTTTAATAAGGATGAATTGTTACAGCATAACCGTACCTGGTTCAGAATAAAAATAAGCTTTTGCTTCTCAAGCTCAATTGAAGGGCATGAGATCCATAAATATTGCATAAGAAATTCGATTACACAAGCAAACATAACTGAAAACCTTTATAAACGCTAAAATATGAATCACATATAAGAATAATTAACAACGTATTTTATGAAGAAGTTAAATAAGGGAAATTAAGTTTTCCCAGATTGTTAAATTTGCATAAATTAATTGCAACATTATTTTAAAAAATTACTGAAAATTATTTAAACTAAATTATTCAAAGACCTTGTCCGTCAAAAAGTTACTTTTCAGATGGAAAAGTTACTTTTTATTGATTATAAAAAAGAAGTTATCCGAAGGTGGTTCCAGTATAGATAGTTTAATGGTTAAAAACAGTTTGAACATGCGGAGATGGAGTTTTTGAATCCAAATCCCGCTTGAACCTTCGCCAGTTATTCAAACTTGAGATACAATTTTTAAATTCATTCGAATTTCATGAAAAAAGGTGCTCATTTTTAAATATAAGGACAGTGTAGATTAAAATAACCATTACATATTTTTCATAAGAAACGCTTTAAAATAGGGATCGTATCCTTAAGTACAAATGAGATTTTATGAAGTTTTAATTTAAAATGTTTTCTTTGTTTAATATTAGGGCCCACCAGCGGCCGAGCGTTAAAGTCGCTGAACACTGGTAATTCGGTCCGAGATTCGAACCCCGCGAACGGGCTGACTGCATGGGTGGTTTTCCTCATGTGTAACGTGTATACGAGCTAGTTCCCCTTAGAAAGTCCTCCACGAAGTCATCCCTCCCCTTAGGCAGATAGCCCTGGAGGCTTTGCCGTAATTAAATAAACTAACCTAATCTAACCTTTGTTTAATATTACAGACTAATAACAAGCTTAGGCATCATGATCGTCAGAAAATTTAATATTGCAAAATATACGAGGGTTGATAAAAAAAAAGTTACAAGGGTAATAAAAAAATATTTATTAACAATAAACAGAATATACAAAAGGGAATTAATAGGCATACCTGCCTATCATTTTTTAAAGTAGTAATCAAATCCATTTAGGCATTTATCTGAACGCAGGGCCAACGTGTTTAATCCGGTTATGTAGAAATCACGTCTCTGCCCATTCAGCTTTGGTGGTTCTTTTCACATCACTGTCTAAAGAGAACCTCATTCCAGATTCGGAATGTTCCTTCAATTTCGGAAAAAGAAAATAGTCACTGGGTGCTAAATCTGAGTTGTACTAAAGATGACTCCAGACTTTGCACTTTAATTTTTGCAGCAATTTTTGAGTTTGCAAGCAGTATGAGGCCATGTTTGTCAAGCAGGAGGATGACACCGTCACTTAGCATGCCAGGCCGCTTGCGTCGGATGGCTTTACGTAACTTAGTCTAAGTGGAACAATAGCGATTAGCAGTAACGTTATGGTCACGCTTCAGATACTCGATCAGGACAACGAATCACGGCTCGCATCTCCAAGCGAGACCACTTTTCTAAACGTCTTGCCATATCAATATCTCTGCCGCGTCTGTAAACTTACTGCACCTAACCGCACAACCGCTGCTAGACAAGTAGTGCCATCTGCATACACTCTGAGGATACACTCCACAATAATTTCTTTTCAAATGCTGATACCTGTAATATCTTTTTTTTTTTTTTTTTTTTAAATCCACCTGCGTGTATCAAATATTCAGGTGTACCTCGAATATATCTAATATTAAGTATTTCTAAAATATTATACCTCAGAGTCATTTATTTATAAACTATATGGTTTTGAAAGAAATCTAAATAGTTGCATTATTGTATTATTGCAGATCAATTACAGGAGATTCGAAAAGTTAGTTTAGTACGAATCCTGTGCGATAACGCTGGCAAACTGGTGCGTCTTCTGCAACCTTCTCCGCTGCTTATGCCTGACGAATATTTGTAAGAAATTTTTTTTTAACATCTGTTATTGTTCTGGTAAGCATTAGCACAATAAAACATGCTTCTTATTTGTGTACAGGAATGCTTTTCAAAGTTGTAATATGGCTGCTCCATCGATGGATCTTAGGAAATGGAAAACAGGTAGGTTTTTATAAAATATAATTACGTTTTATGGTAGTTTTGTAAATACATTTTTTATTTACATGTTAACATGTCGGTTACTTTATTGGGAACATTTTTGTCCATTTGTAGTTTTCCTTAATTTTATTCACTTTTTCTCATTTCATAGTTTTGTCATTGTCTTTCTTAGTTTCATGGCTTCTGTCTACAGATAGCAAAATTATTATTAACTTGCTATTAAAGCAGATTGTTTAATTCAAATAAAATTAAAGTTTGAGGCAACATCGTACCTCCCGACTGCGAGTTGGATTTGCTATCCAGTTATACGGCGAAGGCACTTGGTAACGAAGGAAGAAAATACTTTATATAATTTCTTATCATGAAAGGGGATCAACACAGAGAATTTTTTCCCGAACTTTTTCTTCCTAATTTTTTTAAATCATTTCTCTGTTAAGTCTTATGTTTTGTCGCTTCTTTATTGCCTTCTTTCTCTTTTCACAGCTTCACTCACAAAGGATAATGCTAACTTAAAGGGTACTTAAAAAATGTAATTTACTAGTTAAAACTTAAAGAGTACTTAAAAAATGTAGTTTACTAGTTACTCCAAAAGGGTACTTAAAAATAAATGCAATTTACTAGTTAGAGATTTAATTGTTAAGTGTTTAATTGTAATTTACTAGTTAGCCGCCCAACACGGAAAGTAGTTAGCGACACTGACTGCCGTATTAAAGGGCCCGGGTTCGAATCCGGGGAAAGGTATGGATTTTTGTAAATGTATAGTGTCTGTGCGGCATGCGGCGAGCCGAAATTCCTCTAGTGAGGTTGGTGGTAGAGGAATTGGGGTGGGAGACCCTCGGACTCGTCCTCCCGGGGTATTTTCCATCACTATTGGGGCGGAGGAACTGAGCAAAGTCGTACTGTACTGTAGGTTCTTGCCAACCACAGGCGCAATCTTGTACTCCTTGACACGATGAATTTCGGGGGCTTGTGCTGATGATTGTCTGTTCTACTGTCAAACAAATGAGATAAGTCATAACAACAACTAGTCAGACACATATCTCTAAACAAGGCTTTCCAAAAATACGATGCAATTAAATATCTCTTGAACGAACCTATTTTTATATTGATATTTTGTTTTTACAAGTCCAACGCAAAGGTTTCTGTTCTTTATACTTTCACTAAAAAGTGTGTTGTGACCCAAACTGATATAATTTGAAGGCTACCTTATTTGATTCATTTCTTAAACAAGACGCAATCTTTTTGAAACACTATAAGCATTGCCTTAGTCTTACGAAGTTTAACTACACACGCATACGTTTTCGAAAAGGATGTTACTATACAGTGCTTTCGCCATTTTTTTATTATAATAGCTTTATAAAATCTAATAACTTTTAAACGCTTGTTTGTAAATTCAAGAGTGACTAAAATAAGCGCTGTAACTCGAAACGAATATTATTAAATGCAGTACCTCTAAATTATAAACTTGAAATAGCTATGCATCACTTAATAAAATACCTAAAATTATTTCTTTACGTACTTCCTCCCTTTTTTAACAAATTCTATAGGCTGAAGATCGAAAGGGGAAATACATGCCAGTAGTTTAGTTTCCGAAAAAAGCGATTACAATAAGGATGTAACAAATAAAACTAGTCATGGTTAAACTAGTGGCAATTTTATTTCTTTAAAAGAATCTATACTTCAATAATAATACGTAGTATTATTAGAATTACAATACCCGGTGATATTGTGCTGATATCTGACAGTAATTAAGCCGACGCGACGTGCCCCTGGAGCTTGTAAAACATCAAAGGTATCTCATACGAATGAGTCTTGACCACAATTCTCAAGAGGGATATCGAAGGAACAAAACAGCTAAACAAATGACCCAGACTTTCGGAAGATGAAACACATCAACAGTTGGTAAGACTACAATGAGCTGAAAAATAGACAACAGAAGTAAGGTGAAATCACATGTTTTGAAAATTCTTATGAGAACACCTGCTATGTCCGGATAGCTTAACGGAGATCTGTACAAAATGAGTTTCAAGTAATAAGTACAAGGTAAAATAAAATGTATGAAATGTTCTTAAAAAAATGTGTGAGTGTGATTATGGCAAAGCTTCGAGGGCTATCTGCCAATGGGGAGGGATGCCTTCGTGGAGGACTTTCTAAGGGAACTGGCTCGTATACACGTTACACATGGGGAAAACTACGAAAACGCCCATGCAGCCAGCCCGTTCGCGGGATTCGAACCTCGGATCGAACTACCAATGTTCAGCGACTTTACCCCTCGCTGGTGGGCCTCTTAAAAAAAATGCAAATACAACTTGAAATGTATTGAATAAAAATAATCAAGATAATCCAATTTACAAATAAATTAGCCCTCAGAGGAAAAACTATGCTCAACGGAGGAAGCTGAAAATTGTACGAATATTTAAAAGAATTTTTAGAACTTAGAGGTAAAATATTAGAAGGAAAAATACGCTAGCAAATAGGGTTTAAAAGACGTTTTCAAAAAACTGTAGTACAAATCAGTGCAAGAATTTTATCAGATTTTTAGATGCCTTGCTGTAATTTCAAAATTCTTCCGCTGTGCAAATGAAAAATATTAATATTAAACTTCTGTAAGCTTAGATGGTGTAAAGAGAAGAAACAAATGCCATTGCTTTAAGACAGGAAAAGAGTCCCCTATATCACACCAAAGAACGAGTGAAACTGTAAGGTTTTCCTTATTTTGCATAACAAATTATTTCAAGTTTGGTGTCTTTCCTGAACCTCTCATTTTCCTCTCGCATTTTCTCGCCAGGATGCAAGTGAAATGAATATTTAAAAGAGTGAATCTTGTAGTTTATTCAGAGTGTAGTTTCGCTAGCCAGCGTGCGTTACGAGTCTGTCCTTGCTGATACGCTTTTTTTAGTCATCTAAGTATCACGCCGAGTAGGTTGTTGAGTCAACCTAGTTAGCCTTAACTTAAATTGTTAGTCCAGAACTACTCTTTATCTTTTAAATTTATTGTGTTACGACTTTTAAGTTCCACCGCAAGTTATCGATGTTACTGTAAGTTACCGCAAGTTATCGATGTACGTGCCTTTCTGTTCAGAGTTTGGCGAATAATAAAGGGTTATTTTTACCTTTCTTCTGTGCTGGTATTCTTTATGCCTGTGCGAGAAGTCTTCAGGTTCCTTAGTAGGATCTAGCAATGTTACCAAAGAGAGTACGATCCTACAAAACTGTAAGAGAGGAAGAAAACGTGCAATTTAGAAATTTTAAATTACAGTTTAATACCTCGAAAATTTTACCATAAAATTTTTAAAAAAATTTAAATATTAAAAAATACTAAGAAATATAGAAGTCAGAAATTAAAAAGAAATTTCACTCTGATCATTAAACACAGATTTTAGATTAAAACCTGAACATCTTTTAAGCTCAGCCATTACAATAAGTCTTCTAGTTAAAAATTTAGTTCCCCAGAAATTAAAGATGCAGAATATATAATTGCATAATTTAAATAATCTGTTAAACAATGCCATAATCATGGGAAAAAATTACTATAATATTATTCATAGTAAATTTTAGAAACGTGATGGCTTGTAAATTTTTTTAATGAAATAAGACTTAATTATTCAAAGCATGTGTATGCGTTATTTCAATGGATCGTTCGCGCGCAAGATTTGCAACAAGTATTTCCCTTAAGTGGCAATATATTTTATTCTGCTCCAACACACTAAATTACTAAAAACGATATAGTACTAGCATATATTAAAATTAGAACCAGTACGATAAATGTTTAGCCAATGTAACTAAATGTAATTTTAACTTCAAAAACCGTTAAGACAACGAGCACACAACAGGGGGTTGAAGACGTTTTTTCTTCGAGAAGTTGAAATAATGCATAGTATAATCGCACTGAGATACATAACAAGAGGAAGAAAATCACCTATTAACGTTTCGTCGTTGTTGTGTTCAACTACAGAACAGAACAGAACACCAGCGAAAGACCCTTCGTCCCGGAAGACACTCGGTCTCCTATTCTAAGCTAAGACACTTAATCACTAGAGGCTGCATGAGGGGGCGCCATCCCCTCGGTCAATGCAAAGGGATTAAAGAATCCCAATGCTTGGTGGAGTCCGACGGGTGTCCGAAACGAACCACGGGCTGGCCATACCACCTACAAAACTCACAGACTTGGGAAGTCATCACTTCCCTCTACAATTAAAATTTTAAAGAACACGCCACAAGGTTGCCCTCACCGTTCCTTCACATTGACCGAAGGGAACCCATCCCGCCTCGGATGACCTTTGACATCAACCATGTAACGTCCCTACAGCCATGAGGCAGACAAGACAGTACCAGTACGGTCCTCGCCAAGCTTAAACCAACCACCGAATAAACGATGACTCTAGTCCTGTGAAGACTGTTTATTTACCCCAGGAATTGAGGCTGTCTAAATACTAGTCCAGCCAGTTGCTTGTTCGGTACCCTGGGCCTCCTCCCATAAATGCTCGGTTCCGGAAATTCCACCGAGTCAATCCCCAGGGATGTTTGTCCAACATTAGCCCAGGCCAGCTAGGCCGACCTGGTTACCGGCAGGGGCCACGAGGAGGTCCCTGCCGGTAACCAGGTGTTTAACGGGGTAGAAGAGGCTATAAGGTAGCGTGCGCATCACTATTTCGGCAGCTGCTCTCAAAAGGACCAGATCGAATCCCGGGTCCCCTACCGCCAGCGGTCTGTCCCTGTGATCAGTTCTTTCCAACTTCAAGGAAGTAACAACCACCCCTCGCCTATATTCGACTACAGTAGGAAGACGACTAACATTCATAACTCCTATATTACCCTTCGTCATCACCAGGATTTGGCGATTGGGTCCCATAATCCCCAGTCGTCCTTTAAAAGAGGGAATATATAAGGTACTTTCTCCCTTTTTCCAGCATAACTTCGTGGTGTAACGGCAGCACACTCGGAGCGAATTCGAGAAGTCCAGGCTCGAGTTCCGTCGAGGGCATTTCACAATTTTCATATCTCCAGCTTCAAAATAGTCTAATGTCTTTACAAGCCTACCATTCAAAATTTTGGTCTATTATCTGCTTCTGCTGATAAGAAAGATGTAAAATACAGTAAGACTTATTTATTGAGTTTAGTCAAGCATTTCTCTGTTGTATAATTCCTTTTTAGACCAACCAATACATAAAGCGGACGCTAAAGTTGCTTTCGCTTTCATTCTCTTCTCATAAAACCGAAAAGGGACTCATCTAGGCCTTTCATCAGAAAATAATGGCGAAAACCAAATTTTCGTCAAGTGACGAATACTTGTGATGCATATCTTCAAGATACATACTCATTTTTTCGTACTTTTCCGTTAAAATTACAGCTTTTGACAATCCGTCTGGTCATGACAATTTACTCAGAATAACGGTCATTCAGTCAAGTACACTAACGTCTAACTTTCAGATCAGATAACAGAAGCAGATGGTTAATTGGAATCTTTTAATAGGGCATTTTATTAAATTATCGAAATTAAGACTAAATATTTTAATTGCATCTTTAACAATTAAATTTATCTTAAACAAATTATTGATTAGCAGTTTAAATAACTTTTATAGATCTATAAGTACACCTGTTATGAATCCTCATTTGATAAAACGTAATAAGATGCAGACGAAATCTTACTATTCCAAGCATGTTTGACTGAACTACAAAAAATAAAAAGATTACTATATCAACCGAAATATAATTTTATTCACCAACTCAGAAGCAGTAAAAAAAGTAAACATTTGTAATTATTATAACATGTGTGAGTTATTTCAAACTAATAATTTACATTTTATGCCGTTACTTTCACTCCCCTTCCAGTAACGGATGTTACGTTAAAAACATTAGACTGGTCACCAAATATAAGTACACCTGTTATGAATCCTCATTTGATAAAACGTAATAAGATGCAGACAAAATCTCACTATTCCAAGGATATTTGACTGAACTACAAAAAATAAAAAGATCATCATATCAACACCAAATATAATTTTATTTCAGAAGTAGTAAAAAAAAAGTAAACATTTATAATTATTATAACATGTGTAAGTTACTTTCAAACCAGTTATTTACATTTTATGCCGTTACATTCCTTATACTCATTATATGTTGCTTTATAAACGTTATTGATTAAATACATCTCAAAGTCTCTAGTTTTGCTAAAAATCTTCTTCATTGCTTCATTTTTGTGGATAAGGAATGCTTATAAAACATAGTAATAAAACGTATTTAAACTTCAAATCATCTATGATCAGTAGAACCTTTTTTTTCTTACGTATACGCTTTCTGGAGCACATTTATCCTTGAAGAATAAGTACTAGCATCAGTTTTCCTCGAGTTATATAGAAATTATTTATGAAGTTTACTTCAATCTAAACGGAATTTTTCTAAAATATAACAATCTACTGAAGTATTATTTTCCAAAATGTTAGAAGCTCCAAGTTCCTTCCGGCCTTTTTTTGCTAAAAGAAATTGTAAAAAAAACTGCCTCCTTACGTACTATTCATTGATATATTTATGAGAATCGTTTATTTGCTTTTAAAAGTGTCTCCAATATACGATGTGCCCAAGGAAACATTGCTTACATCTCTTCGAGAAGCAATGAGACAAGCCAAAAAGAGAATTGCAGCAGAGCAAGAAATTTTCAGTAACAGTAAGTTTGATTCTTTTGCTCTTCCGTAAAAATTCCAAGGAATATGAATTAGCTCATATTGTTCATTAATTCTGATACGTCCTGTATATAAACGATATAAACGAAGTTCAGAGATCGTTACTGTAAAATCTGCCATTAATAATTAGAAAATGCCGTATTAATCTACCATTAATAATTATCCTAAAAATGACATTTTATAAAATACAGTACTGAAATATCATACTATAGTTTTTATAAGATTATGTTTTGCTAATTTAATAAAAAAAAAGCAAAATTAAATAATTAAAAGAAAAGAAAATTAAATAATTTCAAGAAACATGCATTCTGCTTAGATGACTTCGCAAACACTTTTGATACCCCGAAATTGTTAATCATATGATTTGCCGATGTTAAGGTACTTAAAATGGCTTTTCAAGTTTATATATCGTATAATAAAAACTACATACTATACTGAAATTGGTGTCATTGCTTTACCCAATAAACAGCGTATTTATGACATTAAGCTATAAAACTAATTATAGTGTGTTAAAACATTATAAGTATTGCATAGCAATGTGATTGAAGAATAAAATTCGTCATTATTACAGTTTTGAAAGCCATACTTTATTTTTAAACTCATTCATGTTATTTTTAATGTCATTCGTGTCACGACTCATATTTGAAAAAAATCATTCTATTTTTCTTATTCTACAAACTTTAATTGATATATTTCTTTGGCACTTATAAATTATGTCCAAAGATAGATTAAAATTTGAAGTTAGGTACGAAAATTGATTTTAGATTAAAAAGCTTAATAGAATTAGACAAATCTGCAACATATTCAGTTACAATTTAGTCCATCATACTGATACTTTCACTAATAATAAAATACAGTGTTGGCGATTGAAATTGTTACAGTATAAAGCGGCATATACCAAACGTCAAATTTACGTGAAAAGTATATGCAAATGAAGAGAAGGACATGTGCACAAAGCAGGTACGAGTAACGCCATCTACATTGTATATGGAAGGTATAACGTTCACATCGGATTTGTCATTCAGAAATCGCATCTGAACGTTAGTTGTTTGTATAAAGGTCGTACTAGGCCTCGCGTAAGAAGGACAAATTCCTGTCAGCGCGAGTCGGAATTCGACTGCTGCAGGATCGTGTCCCATCAGGACTGCGGTTTATCGTTTCACAACATTGCTTATTGTGTTGGTCGGGATCCCATGACTGTCGGGGGAATATGGACATTGCTGCAAGCTGCAATTTCAGGATGGGCATTCTATGTTCGCCCAGGGTCTCAGAGAACTCAGGATGACCAAGTGGCCATTCTGAATTTAATGGAATTCCCGGGTTCTCAACAAGGAGGGAATTCCCCTTGGATGAGAACACTTGCATTATATTGTATATATACAATAATAAGATCCTGTTATTTGCCTTCAGAATTATGGGCAAACCATCATGCAAAATAAGCACATGCTTAGGGCTTCAAGCAAAAGATGCACCACAAAAAGGTAATTAGAGACTCAGGAGAGGGGTCACCATAAAAATTTTCCACTGTCGGTTTTACCATGGTATGCAAGATGCAACTTAACCAACACAGGGGATGATGGAATGGGAAAAAATTTGCATAAATATATATGGGATGTATAAGTACTTTTTAAGTACTAGGGCTTTTAAAAATCTTAAACCGGCCTTGTTTGTTTTCCTTCTTGGTGTAGCAATTTTAATGGTATACCTGTGTATACCATTAAAATTGCTATAAATCGAGGCATTGTGTCAGATTATGATTTCTGATTATCATAAATAAATAAATTTTGAAACTTTTGATGTTCTTCAATAACACTATTTTTTACAAAATTTGACTAATGTTTTGTTGATAATTTCAGATATCGGAGTTGCTGATTATCGAAGTGCTGAAGCAGTGCATCATGTATTCTTACGACCAAAGCGACAAGCCATTCTCATTGCCAATAAATCTCTAGTCTTGGAATTAGCCTCTCGGCAATTCATGCACGAATCTCAGTTGTAAGTAACAATTAAAAAAAAAAAAAAAAACGAATATTTTGAAGATAGATCTTTTATTAAAGTAATGCAAACTTTCATACAGAGTTTTTCTGCAATAAACCAATTAAAAATGTTTTATTGCTGGTAACACAGAAATAAGAGAAATATTCCTATTGCCATAGAAAGTGTTAAAAAATATTTCTAGTTCTGTGAATCCACCAAAGGCGAAGCATACTACTTTCAGAATGCAACAAAAGTAAAATAGAAAGATACGAAACTTAACGAATGATACACTTGCTGCAGTACGGTTTTCAAAGAGAAGCGCTGCTAGTTCTTAAATATCTTTAAAGGTTAGCTGTAAAATAGCTACCTTTAACCGTGCGAAATATTTATCGTAAAACTTTTGGAGTTTTAAATGAAAATAAAATTTTTATTTTTACTATGCGGCTAAAAATTAGGAAAGTATACATAGAGTGTTAGATATGATGTAAAAGCTGTGAATGTATTTTTCTTAAATTCAGCTAATACAAATCCATATAAAAAGTTTCAAAATTTAAAACGATTAAAACCTTACTGTCAGACTTCGAAAAGGCTCGCAATGTTACTAAGATGGACTCTGGCTGTATATTCTAGGTATCCAAAACATTTTGCACGAAAACTGTGACATGGGTTTTAGCAAAATTTATCTTCATAATGAGATTTTTCTTGTTTTTCTTGTTATATTATAACTAAATCTGGTATGCGCTATAGAATGCATTGCAATCATACTTATTTTTTTCTGTTTACAACTGAAATCAAAATTCTTCGATTAATCGTCTTCTGTTTCTATGTAAATGGAATTACTTTATGATTATTCGAAACTATTTAAATTTATGTAACATATAGATAACATGAAATCAAGTTTCCGAGCTCTCTTTTAAGTCATAGTTTATAAGTTACTACAGGTTAAGCTGAAGTTTTATAACACGCCAATTTTCATTCACATTGATTGTATACATATTAACAATACATGACTTACAGGTGCACATTTCAGAGAGAAGAAAATTTTGTCTCATCTAAGAGAAAATTTTAAGGGTCATTGCATAGAAATTTTGCATTAGTGTGTTAAAAAGTGCAATTAGTTTTATCTTTCGGGAATAATTTTTTGCCAGTCAAGAGTTCTGTGATTCTACTCATACACTATCAGTAAAAGAAATTCTTATGTTTCTGCTTATATCAAAAGTTAGTACAGAATTTATATGGTTGTGTGAACATTCACCAATTTGCGCTTATATGAATGCATCTACAAATCGTCTGCTGATGTCTAAACTGTGAAGTCATTAGAACAGTTTTCACCAGCTTCACGTAAAAGGATGTAAATATAAAATTCACATTTAGTTTTATAAAATATTCATCTTTTGTTTTTGTATATTAATTATAACAAAGGATTTTCCTAGATTGAATAAATGCGTTTTCTTTTCATCACTACAGAAGAGATCACGAAAGAAAGCCAAGTGATTCTGAAATAACTGCCATGATGGTGGCTTTATCGACTCAAGACGTTGAAGATTATCTTCAGCAAGAGATGAGAGTCACAGAAGATAGTATTATCGAAGGAAGATGTAGACTAGAAGAGGATCAGTCTTCACTACCCTGTGATCACACTACTCCATTCAGGTGAATTATTTTCTTTATTTTTTAAATTCATTAAAACATTTCCATTCGCGAACAGGAATTATAGATTAGCGTTAATGTCAGTATTATCGAACTTAGATCAAATATCCAAGTTTTAGTTTTTGATTCGGATGCATTTTATAGAGATCTTTAAGATTAAAAAAGAAATAAAGAAGATCCATAGTAACTTTGAAATATAAATTAAGTCTGACATGCTGTGTCTAACAAAAGTGTTCGCACACTTTATGAATTTGCAGAAAAAGCTCTGTAACTCGGAATTGAATTCGAGTATGAAGCCCAATATCTTTTCATATCATCTCTAGATGATTTTGAATAAAACCGATAATTTAAATTTCTAATTTTTAATATTGACTTATTTTCTTTTTCTAAAATTGAAAATGTAAAGAGGCGTAGATATAACGCGTCACAAAAGTGATCGGATACCGAAACATCTTCGTAAAATTTCATAAATAAAATTATCGTCTAACTCTTTTTTTTTTTTTTTTAAATTTTTGCATTTTGGTAACGTTTAAAAAATGTTTGGTTTTACTTTTTGCTTTCTTACTTCATTATATTTTATTTAATGTTTAAAAATGTTTCGAAGTCGTAAAGAAGCAACGAACAGCATTCGAAAATTGATCATTTTTTATCATAAGGATGGAAGTTCGATTCGGTATATCTCTGAATTAATAAATTTATCCCATTCTACAATGCAGTATGTGATAAAATGCTCTAAAGAAGAAAATCGGATTCAAATTAAAGTAAGAAGAGTTTGTCCGGCAAAAACGTTTCGACGTGACTCAATGCAGTCAGCGATTTATAGTTAAAAAATCTGTGAAAAATCCACATTTGAGAGATGTAAAGATTTCTACAGAACTTACTGAAAATTTGTCTACTTTAATTTCACTTAAAACTGTTTTACGAGCTCATCTCGAAACTCTACTCGAAAAAAAATTTTTGGAAATGCAAAAAATAGAATGTTTAGACTTTTCTTCTAAAAATCAATGGTAAATATGCCCAAAGCGTATTAGAATCATGTTTTATTTGCAAACGAGACCAAATTTAGCATTTTTGGTTCCATGCATAATTGCATGGAGCGAAAAAATGAGGAGCTTAATCCCAAGACCTTGGTTGGAACAGTAAAGCATGGCAGTAGAGGTGTTTTAGAGTGAGGGTGCATATCAGCGTCAGGATTAAACAATTTAGTATTTATTGATGACATAATGAAACATATTCTTTATTTAAATATTTTAAAAGGGAATTTAAAATTTGAAGACTGGAAACAACTTTATTTTTATCAGGGTAACGATCCTAAGCGCACGACCATCAACGTTCGCCTTTTGCGTGTCTATAATTGTCCACAAGTTCTGAAAACACCACCACCTTAGTCACCAGATTAAAAGCCAACAGAACACACTTGGAGAGAATTAGATGTTAGATTACGAAGACACAACATTAAAACAAAAACCGAACTAGAAAGAGTATGATGGAAGACTGGAGAAACATTGATGGAGATATATTGCACAAAAAAAAAAAAACTGGTTAACTCTATGGTCAGACGTCCGAAAGTTGTCACAAATACTGCAAGATATACTACAAATTACTAACTGACAGAAATACACCACTATTTATTAATATATACAGATTTCTTTAAAGCGTACAAGGACTTTTGTGCTGTAACTTTTCTGTTACTTTTTTATTACTGATCTTCGCCCCAAAAAAGGTTTTCATGTGTTCATAAAATAATTAATGTAGTTTTGCTAAGAGAAATTTATAAACATTATTTAGAATTTTTTATTAATGAATAAACAATATTTCACTGAAACTCGTAAGCGTACGAACAATTTTGTGAGCCACTGCAATATAATTATCACCTCATCTACCAATTTTAATGGGCCATTTGGTTTAAAAGCTACAGCAAACCTGTTAGAACATATTTATTATTCAATATGGGATTCCTAAACACCTAACGCGCTCTGTTCGTCTTGGAAACAGACACTATACATGTGAAAGTGCTGCTCTGTGAAAAACAATTAAGTCAATTAATCAAGCAAACCAAAAATCTTACTTGGACTATAAACTTATTTCACTTTTAGCAGGTGATATAGTAAAATTTAAAAGCTTACTTTTAATTTTTTTCTAAAAATACTTTCTCTCCTTATACGTTTTTGTAAACATACTTTTTGCATGTAAAATTAAAACAGTTTCATTGATTTTAATATTCAGTTATTTATTATTATGTGAGTTAAGTGTACTTAATGTATTTTTTCACTTTACATTCGTTTTCTATGCAAATATACTATGCAAATATACTGATATTTTTGCTTGAACTCCCGTGAACAACTACTGCTTAAAACAAAAGCTCAGTTGAGGAATTTCCAAATAGAATACGAATTATATATCAACCAGTTTTAGATAGAGCTATAGAACAGAAACTGTTTTATGTAACAGCACTGGAAGTAAATGATAAAGAATAGGAATCTTTATCAACAGCTCCCTTATCTGTTCATTGATGTGCATTTCTATTATAATAATGTCAAGTCAAGAAGAGATCAGAAAGGGAAAGTATTCGAAAATATGCTGCGACCTTGCTCTAAGTATATTAACATGAAATCCTAGATGTGCCGAACCAGTATGGTAACCATTACCCTACATAGGCACATGACAGAAATGTATTTTAATTCCTTTCCTCCCAGCCGGTATAGTGGTTAAGGACGCTGTGTGCCGTACCTATGGGCCCGGGTTCCAATCCCGGAGAAAGAATGGATGTTTTTAGGTTGATAGTATTTGAGTGACAAGGGGGACACTCAAAATACACTGCCAACCGAATATCCGCTCGAAATGTTAGTGGTAGGGGAAGATGGGTGAGAGACCCTCGGACCGCCACCCCCCCCCAGATGTTCTCCCTCAAAATCGGGACGGAGGCTTAACAGTTAACAAGACTCAGTGATACCTAATATATACTTACGGGAATAAACAGGTGCCGACCTTGCTTCATACTGTACGCGTCTTTTAATTCCTTACAAAAGGAATATTTGAAGAACGGAAAAGTACGCTTAGTATTTGATGCAGTGCTGCAATTTTTTGGTTTCAGATGCATACTACCAAATTATTTAAACCATCTTGCATTTTATTAACTACGTTTTACGGTTACGAAAACTAACATCATTCTTAACAAAAATAAGCACAAATATAGCCTTGATTTTTTTTAATTGATGATTTTTTTTTAAATAGTGTATCAAGCTTTCTTCTGTGACTGCGAGCCACTTCAAATACAATAAAAATGAGAAAAAATTCCTCTAGGAGATTTTAAATAATTTTTTGAGCCTACGATAAAGTAAATTTAGAACCAACAAATTCAGTCGGTAAAGGTACTTTTTTGTCCTTTCACATTGCAAATTTGAGGACATCAGATTTGAAGAAACTTCTATTTAACATTAATATTCCAAAGAAAATTGCACTAGATTTTCAGTGGTTTCTTAAATATTTGCTGCATGCAGGAGCAACTGGCAATGCCTAGTTGCATATCTTAGCATCAATTTAGTTAAATATTGTATAATTTCCTCCCTGTCCACGAAATCCCATTGCAATATATTTTTAGCTACCTACTACAAATTTCTAAATAAAATTTTCTTTTAATTTCAGATCACCTTCGGGATGGTGCAATAACGTCCAAAATCCTCATTGGGGTAAATCATTGGTAACTTTCCAGAGATTGTTACCACCAAGATATGGTGATGGTAATGTAATTTTTTTCTCATTAGCTCAGATTTATGTACTTCGTTGATGTAACTCGATGACAAAAGAAATCTGAAAATCAATTTGCTAATTATCTTTAGCGGATATTGAGATTTATTCTCACATTAAAAACTTTCTGAAACTTGAATTATAATTATATCGGTTTTGCATGCTGTTGCAGCCTATGTTATAAACTCAGTGCCGCCCTAACCACAGGGCTAAATGGGCTATAGCCCCAGGGCGCAAGCCTTTTGAGGCGGCAATTTTTTATTTGCGATATAGTAAAAAATTATTTTCATCTATTAGTTTTTATTTTAATTAAAAACACTTCTTAAAATATTAACTGATTTTATTTAACTAACTAGGACAACCATGGAACCTAAACGAAAAAATTTCTGGTTCCGCAACCGTAAATAAAAGATGCGCAAACAAAGAGGGAAAATAAAATCAAAACAGTTATGAAATAATGCCCAGCATAAATGTGAAAGAAAAAGAAGAGGACCAGAACAACAAACATGGAACACCCAGAAGATCAAGAAAGAATATTTAGATGAAGATGAACTTAGTAATATGTTGAGTGTTTTACTGATCCAGATTATAGGGAAGATTAAGCAAGATAAATTATAGATATAGAAGAACATATCTAACGTAGAGGTAACATTCAAGAACTAACTTTTCTGCATCTAAAGTGGTCTACAATCACAGAGCAAGTAGCTACAAAATGATTTTATAGACGTTTACAAAACGGAAAACAAACAAAAAAAACAAAAAAAAAAAAAAAAAACTGGTTTTATACTCAATACTTCGGAAAAGTATATTGAATCTGCAAACTGTTTGGTAGTGCCAATATCCATTTGTGCAGGTTTTAACAATTGGAAACACATGAAAAAATTTCGACCATGAAATTCAGCCCCTTCTAAGAAACACTGTATAATTGTGAACATCTACAGAAAAATGGGATATTTCAAAAATTATCTATTATATCAATGGAAAAATACGAATTACTGGAAAAATATTTTAGAACGTATCATCGAAGTCATAAAATTTTTAAGTTCAAGGGGTTTGGCTTTAGGGAAAAATCAAATATTGGTGATAAACATAATGGAATTATTTAGGGTGCTTAGAACTTTAGCAAATTTGACCCTATTTTGTAACAACAATATTTAATTTTGCAATAAAGTACTGGGAATATTCTTATTTATCTGCAAATATTGTTGATGAGTTTCTAAAATATGGGCAGAAATGTAGATGTTTTATTATCACGGAACAAAAGAGGCAAAATATTCTCTTATAGTAGACTCGACTCCCATATTTCCCATATGGATCAATTAACATTGTCGTAAGATATGTCAATAAAAGGAACACCCGTTGAAAGGTTTTTAAATTTTTGAGAATACTGGCCTAAGAGCTCGAAATGCAAGACTGTGTATTTTAAGCTATGATCTGATTTAGATATTAGTTTGGAAGATTGTAAGGACAATCTTATGATATGCCTCTAATATGTCGGGTATATAAATGGCTCCAAGCACGCATTAAATCTAGAAATAATCTTGCCATTTACGTGCCGGCGGACATTCTTTAAATTTATTGGACATCAGCAGCTGAATGCTGCATACAAGCAACTAAATTGTTTTTTGTTTCTACACAAACTTATACAATTTCTTTTCGCACAACATCAAGATGGGAAATTTTAAAAAATACGATAACAGCAAAAAAACGTTCCCAAAAAATTAGGCGACACTCGTTGGTCAGCAAGAGCTGATTCAGTGAAAGTAGTGGTTTCGGGCTATGAAAATTTTAAAAATCTTTTAACTAAACTTTACGAGATAATTTCAAAAGCCTGCAACAAAGTTGAAGCCAGGGGTGTTAAATGAGTTCAACTCATTGGAAAATGCTATTATGATAGCATTTTGGAGTGAAATATTGAAACCCATCGATAAAAATATATATCGCTTCAAAAAGTTGATACAATTGAATGCATTGTTTCATAGATGCTTCTTTAGAAAATTTGTACAATCGAAACGAAATATAGATTCGTTTAACCTTTACAAATCAGAAGGTTAAAAATTATCTGGCTGTTATGAATACAAACGGTTACGGAAAGGAAAAAGACAGTTCGACGAAAATACGTCGGAAGAAGTGCAACTTGATGCAAATGACGAATTCCGCATAAAAACATATTATGCTATTATTGATAAATTCTAGCAGAAGTACAAAAGAAAATGTGCATATGTTGACATTTATTCAACATTGGGTTTCTAGTTAATTTAAAAATATAAATGAAGACATAATTAGAACAAAATGCTGCAAATTGTTGTGCAAAATATATCAGAATGATTTAGAAAACAACTTTATTGAAGAATGCCTACATTTTAAACATGTGAATTTATTGGAAAATACCGAAAATATATCTATCGCAGAACTAAGTTTAAAGACAATAATCGAGTTAAAAATTGAATCTACATTTCCAAACGTAACCACACAGCACTGCGCATATTTTTAAGTATCGCCACAACAAACTGCAGTAGCGAAGATCATTTTCAGCAATCAAAAGAATAAAAATTTACTTACGATCTTCTTTGGGACAGAGTAAACTCAATGATTTAAGTATTTTGTCTATTGAAAGAGATTTATTTGAAAATTTAAATACTAGTAATATTATTGATCAGTTTGCCAAAGAAAAAGCTAGGAAAGTAAATATATAGTTACATTTGTTTAGATTAAGGTGTGTTTTTTGTTCTTAAATGGTTTTTTATTAATTTAAATTAAATTTTATTTTTGTTTATGTTATGCACTGATGGAGAATCATATAATAGTTCCGATCAAGTTCTAAGGATTAGACTAAAAACTGATCGGAACTGTCATTATTGAGATAATCCCCTCAAATCTGGGTAAACATTTATACCCATCTTTTAAATAAGTGACTTTAAAGAAAAGTTACAATCAAGATAACAGTTTATTATAAAAGTAATAAATAGTTTTTTTCTAGTTCTGACACTTTTGTTTTGTATAACTTTTCCGACTCCCATTTGCCATTCTGTGTATTTTCTTAGGAAGAAGGGCGCATTATTTTTAGTAGCCCATGGGCGCCGAATTCCTTAAGACGGCCCTGTATAAACTTACGCACCGCTAGATTACTTGAGGCAGCATGTAGCTTAATATTTATCTGTACAGTCTTAGAATACTGATCAACGTTAAAACTGACTGCTGTTATTTACATAGCCACAAGTACTAGTTATCTTCAGAGTACGAGCCGTGTCCTTTGAGTTAAAAGTTCAGTTTAAGAAAAGATTATGAAGTCATACTACCGATAACTCGTTAACTGTCTAAGTTAGGTTATAGATTATAGGACCTAGTAAGTTTACAGGTTCCAGTATCAGACCAAGTATAACCTTATAAGTGAAGTACAAATGCAAATACTTCGATTTGTGTACAACCTCTGAGTATTTCTTAAATTAAAACATGTCGATAAATTTTCGTAATACGGGAGTCATACTTTTTAAATTGTACGTTTTATACCGAGTTTAACATTTTCCTAAAGATGAGTATAGGGCCTGTGGGAAAGGATCAAAAGTTAAATTTTGCAATTTTTACAACTTTTTTTTAATTTAGAAATTACCAAAACATGAATATTTGCGTCATTTAAAACATTTTTGTAAGTGAATATACACACGTTTACAAAAGGCTTCGAAAAGCCTGGATAAGGAATTTTTTGGACTTGGTGTATAATTTCATTATAATTTTGTTATTATGTGTAGTTACGTAATTTAGCACTGATTTCAAAATTTAATTAATCAAAAATCTGATATATTTTTATCGCTAAGCGGGAAATGAGCGCTAAATAGTGATTAAACATCACTGAAGAAAACCACTGAAATTAATACACTTGCTCAAAAATTACTACTTATAGTGTGCAAAAAAGGTACATGATTTGCAAGTATAGAAAGTAAAGCTATATGAAGAGCAGTTATTTAGTACCTATATAAATGCAAGCACAAAACACTGAAGGGCTAAATCTTACGGAAATGAGACTGCGGACGAAAGCAAAATTCTATTAGAAAAAAAAAAAAAAAAGCTAAAGTATTATATCTATTTCCAAATTACGGCTAAGTGCGGTAAACTCGTATCTGTTTTAGCAAACTGTTAAAATTGTTTGATAATAATTAAATTTTGCATTAATATTTCTTTGCGGTGATTTTTATAATTTCTTCTTATTTTTATTTTCTATAAAATATTACAGTAGAGTCGCGGTTATCCGACATAAACAGACGAGCAGAACGTCGGGATATGTGAAAATGTCGTATGATAGGGAAGTATTAAGAAAAAGACTTCTAGAAGTCAAACTACGCTGTAATTTCACATACTAAGAGCCTAATAATGGTTTTTACAGTAAAGAAGAAAAAATTAACGGAAAAAGGGAAGTTAATTCAGAGAATTATCTGAATTATCTCAATTCAGAGAACTTCTGAAGTTAAATATAGTGGCACAGAATTTCAAAGTTAAGTCTTATAAGTGATTGAAAGTAATTGTTTAAGTAACTTTTTATCGTAGTTTGATTTCTTCTCAGGTTCGTTTCTTCGCTGCCAAATCCTGCTATCTTTACAACATCACTATCTCGACTCCTGTAGCTTCTTCTTGTTGCTCAATATATTTAATTGCAATTCCCAAAGCCTTAATTTCATCGTTACATGAAATTCTGCGAGTCTCAATATCTGGTGTTTGATTTTGATTTCCAATTTTGTTTTCATCGCAATTGACAAAAGCGACAATTTCTTCATCAGTTATTTCATACTGATCATCATCCTCTATATAATTCAAATTCTAGCAAAGATTCACCTTCACATCAAAGGATACGTTGAGCTAAAGGCGGATTTTTTTTTCCGGTTTTATCTGAGATTTTCATTTTTATCTTTTTATCATCGCTTAGCAGCTCCTTCCATGATTTGACAATTGTTTTAACCCTTACGTCAGCCCAGGCCCGTTTAACCCAATAAGCAACATCCTTTACCTTGATGCGTTTTTTATTTTTCAATCATATTTTGTCCTTATTCAATTTCTTCTATAATTTTGGACAGTATCTTAATACGACAGCTCCTTTATATCTTTTCTAGAACGCCGTGACCCATAGTTCGGCATATGGCGGTTACTTTGGGATACAGAAACATTGCCTTAATGTCATCATCTTGAAGTTCCTCTGCATCCGGGTGCACTGGAGCATTTACCAAGCAACAAATCAGCTTTTCTGGGTAAATTATTTCCCTTCGAAAACATCTCTGTTGAAGAAATGAATTACTTAAAGAACTAGTCTGTGAAAATGTTTCTACTCATCTATGCGCTTTTCTGTCTATAGTATTTTATAAAGAGCGTTTTTTGAAATTATTTTGAAGGCTGTGGTATTTTGTTTGTTTCCAGTCATTATAAGGTCCATTTTGAGTTAGCTGTTGAATTGGTGCATGCTGAAAATTGTAAGCCTTTTCTTACTACACTTATAAGCCAGAAGCTGCTACTTCGGTTCTGGCTGCAAGACTCTTACTCGATAATATTTTGCAGTTAAGGGCGGTCTAATCACAGTTAAATATCTGATCCTACTTTAGGTTTTTAGTTTCGATTCATTCCTGAAATTCTCGAACGTCTTCCATTTTTTTCAAAATATGATAATAGTTTTTCACCGCAAATACTTAAGTAACGGATACTGTAGTGTTTCTTCCATAGATCGAGCCAACTGACACTTGCTGTGAAATCTAAGTCACCTTCATTGAAATAATTATGAAAATGTAATGCTTTTTACTCTAAAATAGGCTCTAAAACAGGCACACATTTGCCCCTGAACTGTGTAAACCAAGCATAGTACGCTTCATTCACTTTTCACAGTCACACCTTTTCATAGTTTTTTTTTTTTTTTTTTTCCTTTCAATGCGCATTCCGTAACTTTTGATGCACAGCACTTTTCTGTTTCTATTTGTTTCCTTTTACAGTCTTCTATTGTTTTCCGTTCAACGCCAGAGTCGTGAGTTACCTTTATGCACTGTCTCTCCTTATCCAGTCACTTGATTGCCTCAAGTTTTTGTTTCATCGATACAATTTTCTTTCATTCCGTCGCCATTTTTTCTGTACTTGCGAAAACTTCAACTTTCAACCACCACAACAATGTTCATAAAATTAGACACGCTAAATATGGACACCTACGCATGAACAGTAATAGACCATAAACGGTTAACTGCACTGCCATTAATGACAGACTCATGAGTCATAGTGTAGATGGGTGAGCCACACGATATTATCGGGAGAAGCAACAACAAAAAGATTTTCTTCACAGCTTGAAGATTTACAGTGGTCTGTCGGATAAGGGAGACTCTACTGCAATTAAACTTTCAAATCAGTAAATCCAAAGGAAATTTAGTTCTTATTTTAGGTCATCATTAATCCAGAAATGTTTATTATTGAATTCTGATATGTTTTTATACAATGAATTTTATTTAAAAATCTTTGATAATGAGTTTTAAGTATTTTATGACAATGGTAGGTATAATAATTCCATTACGAATTCATGGAATGTTTTGAGGATTAAGAAATGTAATGCGTTTTGTTTGTACAGATAAACTGTAAAAATAGCATTTCATTATCAGCTTGAAATATTTCATTTAAGATAAAAGATTTCTTTAATGGCGGTAAAAGTGGTTAAGACCTCTTGCTTATCTTTCTACAAAAAGTATGAAATACATTAATGCCTGAAACAGGCACCTGTTCTGTCCACTTTCTTGTCTGAAACATCAATAATATCTTACTCAGTGAACATCCGAAATTATTCAGCTTTACATTTTAGTTTAATATTTTTTATGTAACTTCAATTATTTTTTAACTACAGCAGTTCATTTAATCATGTACATTTGTAGTGGTATCAAATAAATTTTTCGTATGTGCTAAGTTTTCTTTCCAAATATGAATTATTACCTTTTAACTTCAGGTATCAGTTCTCCTCGCAGCACAGGAGTCTCTGGACGCCCTCTTCCATCGGCTAGACTAGTATCTTACGTTGTCCATTACAACACAGAAGCACCCCACGGAAGATACAGTTTGGCTCTTATGCAGTGGGGACAATTTTTGGATCATGATTTAACCTTGACTCCCATGCATGAAGGTATTTAATGGTTTCATATGACGTTCAGTTAATTATTTTCGATACGTGCAGTCAAACCAAAGGCTCAGACAAAAAAATAAATAAATAAATAAATATAGACTGCACTATTAACCAGCAGGTAGTCACTTAACCCCTGTAAAATCACATATTGCATGCAAATTTTAAGCATGGAATATCACCCACAAATTTTCTATTCCGTTTTTCTCAAAATCTACATTTTGGAATTGTAAGGTATCAGTTAATTAAGGCACAATAACACGCCGAATAAATACTAATTCAGAAGTCAAACAACAAAAATCAGCGCTATATTTACAAAACTTTCACTTGTAAATATAACGCTGATTTTTGTTGTTTGAATTCTGAAAGGTATCAGTTATTAATTATCATTGAAAACTCAACTTAAATGCAAAGTAAATATAATTATTTTACTATTGTAATAAGAATTTTAAATGTAGACTGCACTACTAACAAGCAGCAGGAAGTCAAAAAGTGGAATTTACTTATAACCACTTGTAGGTAACATCATATATTGCTTAGGAGAACATTTTAAGCGTGGGATATCACATGCAAATTTTATATTCCTTTTTCCTCAAAATACATATTTTGTACTTATAAGTGATCAATTACTACTGATCATTTTATTCAAGCCACAACTTATTAAGCACTTTCTCTAATTACTATTGAAAACAACAGAAACTATATAAAAACTGAAACGCCATATTTCATATTATTCAAAAAAAACCTTAATTATATTTTATAGTAATCATAACGCTGAGCTGCTTAAATAATAATAACAATTGCGAACAGTTTTTCAAGTACATTATTAAAAATACAGAAGAAATTTCCTAGTATTGAAGGAGAAGTTCCTTTGATACCAGAAGCTATTTAGTTTTATATAAAAATATTAATTATTAACCTTTATTTAGGTATTTTGATAGTTATTTCTGAGTTACAAACTGTACATTTATAAAATGTAACTAATTTACTGTTATAACTTACATAAATAATAGATAACTATTAAAATTAGTTTATGGAATACAGAAAATAGAACTCGAAACCAAATTTAATCTAATCTATGATGATGTGGTGATTGTTGATGATAATCTAAAAAATAATATCATACGCTTTGAATTAGAAGATTCGATGATATTTTCATTCCATAACCATAATAATGTCAAGTTCACTTAAGCCTATATTCGCCTATAAATCATCGCTTTTATGTCTCTCTAAAATGTTAGTTTTCAACTTTCAGACTTTTTTTAGAAATTTTATATTTAAGAATTTACCGATAATTATCTCGAAGAGATATGAACAATGTCTAATAATAAAAAACAATTTTTCAGCTCTTCATCGACGACCCTTAGACTGCAAGTCTTGTGATTCTGCCATAACAGTTCATCCAGAATGCCTGCCAATACCAATCCCCCCAGATGATCCATTTTTCCCACCAATACACAAAAATTCTTCCAAGAATTGCATTTCTTTCGCCAGATCTCTTGCAGGACAACTTACTTTAGGTAAGAAGATATCCAGTATCGTAAGATTAGATATCTTAAGTAAATCTTTAATACTTTAGTGGCACAACGTAAAGATTCAGTACAGCTTCAGGGCCATGAACTTAGTTGTAGCTGTCATATTCAAAGATTCCTTGGGTTGTAATCTTAATACCTTATATTTGTACGATAGAATTTTACACTGAAAATTCCAGGCGAAAACATCGCGGGCGAGAACGTCGTCGTATAAGACACATCGTGGGAGAAAAATAAAGAAAATATCGCAGTTCTATAACAGTATATATAAAACATTGTCGTCGAAAATAAAGCGGTTCAAAATCATCGTAGTTTTAAAACACCTAGTAAAAAATACCGTAGTAAAAAAATAAAGCACCTACAAATCATCGCATGACGGAAACATCGCAGATATATGTTTTTCGGGTATTAAAATTTTTAAATATATGTTCACATAATCTCTTTTATAAAATCGTAATGGCAGTTTTTATGAAAAATATAGTCTATAAATATTAGAAAAGGAAAGGTGAGTAACTTCATGAAATCCTATATTAAAATTACTTAATTAATTATGAATATGTAAAATTATTTTCTTTCATTTTGCTAATTGATTTAATAAAAATTAAATATTGTCTTCTTTCGGTTAGTTAAATAATTTGAATATGAATAACCCCATTCAACTACTCATCTTCCCTTTTCTAATTTTTTAGATTGTATTTTTCATGAAAATCTATCAATACAACTTCATAAAAGAGATTAATTAAATAATGACTTCTAATATTTAAGTACAGAAATTTAAAATTATATTAAATGCTATATGTCTATGTTTAATTTTCTACCGATGTTCAGTTTCTGAATGCATAAGTTTCCTTTTTCCTTTTCAGCTAAAATGTATACTAAAAGTATTCCTCATTCCCTCTTACGGTCAAAACGATCTTCTTACGGTCGCTCTGCATTTACAACTTTACATTTACATAAAGATTTACAACTTTTAAAACCTAAAAGGCACATATCTGCGATGTTATCGTCACGCGATGATTTGTGGGTGCTTTGTTTCTCACCACGATATATTTTACGATTTTTTTAAAACAACGATGTACTGTAAAATCTGATGTGTACACAACATGACTTCCTTGTACGTAATATTAAATTATACGCAATTTTCTTGCATTTCATTTAAACATATTGAATAAACAGTTAACGAATTTTGAATTAAATCTACTTCGTCGATAGCGCATAAACCACAATAGAATAAATGCACTCCTTAAAGTTCACTATATTTATTTACCATACCGACACTTCTGTGCTAGGTTCACTTAACATCATTACATCTCATTCATTTTATAACTCAGAGTGCACAAAAATTATATCATCCGAAGAATCACCACATGCTCTATTCAAATACTATAATAAATTTAAAACGATGTATAAAAAAAATTAAACAAATAAAAAAAGAACAGTTTTTCACAAATGATTCAGCGCCGCTTACCTAACGCGCATGCGCTACTAATTAATTCAGTTCTCACTTCGCGCCAAGGCAAAAATACATAAAAATTCAAAATATTTTCATTAAAAATTGAAAGATATAGAAAAACATAAAACACCAAGTACAGTTAGAACGATTAAAATTACAGTTTCTGCGCAAAAACAAGCTAATAACTTAAATGATAATTCCAGAATGAATTAAGTATAATTTAATTCCCAGTAATAAAGGAAGACGTTACTTTGACTTTACTTTTTTATTTAGTTTCTCTAGATTGACAACAAATGCACTATTCTGCTAAGTTTCAAATGTAAACAAATATGGCTGCAATGGTAACCAAATATTAGGCGTAACCGCGCTTAAAAAACGATGTTTTAAAACAACGATGTTCTTAAACCGCTTTATTTTCGGCGACAGTGTTTTATACCACCGATGTTTTAGAACTGAACTGCTGTGTTTTCCCCCCTTTTTCTTTTGTTCCGCGATGTTTTGTACGCTGTCGTTTTCGCCCTCTGCTTTTCGTCCGTGATGTGTCCGTGATGTGTTCGGCGGACACCGCTGAAAAGTATGGTAAAAAAGCAGAAAGTGGGTAATGTTTTATTTACACTTGGTAGATGCATTAAACTGAAACATATACATTTCAGTTAGAATATGTTCCTACATTATTCTTAATTTGCATTTATTCAAATAAAATTATTTAAATATTTATTAATTAGTCCATGAAATCGAAATAATGAGTAATTGATTTGTTGACTAGAACCATTTTTAAAGAAATACTAGGCCATACTCTGTTTTAGGTCGTCGAGAGCAAATGGATCAAGTGACATCATACATAGATGCATCGAATATGTACGGTTCAGATGCTTGTGAAGCAAGGATGTTGAGGGCATCCTATGGAGGCCGGCTGAATTCAACTAAACATCCCTTTGGTGGCAAAGAGCTTTTACCACAGGATGTGACGAATGTCGAATGCAGAGCGGCATCAGGCTTGTGCTTTGAATCAGGTAAAATTAACTACAGTGACTAATCTTTGTAATGAAATTAGTGATTTTGAAATCCTTTTCTTGCAATCTGTAAATAAAGAAACTTGATTTTACTGAATTATTTTAACAGGATTATTAATGTTTGGTGACATAACGTATAAACTTCTTAATCTCCTGTGCAGTTAGAAGTCTTCAGCATAACATTGTTTCTAACATATTATATTTCAATATTACAGGTGATATCCGAGCCAGCGAGCAACCAGGTTTAACAACAATGCATACGATTTGGATGAGAGAACATAATCGCTTATCAGATGAAATGGCTACAATAAATCCTCACTGGGACGATGAAACTATTTATCAACATGGTAAGTATAAACGAAATTGTAACACCGCTAGCTCTCACATAATGATGTCTAGTGGCATTCGAATTACAGTGGGAGTTTGATTATCTATCATACTCGAGACGGCTTCTGAAAGAACAAAAGAGTAGTAACTGAAATCCTTCCACCATCGCCTATTAGTAACAGACAGTTAATAATGAAGAACATCCATTTTTAGCATAGAGCAATTTATACAAGATGATCGAAACGTCAGCGTATATCATCTTATTATACATCGGATTGCATATTTGTATGATCTATCATGTGATAACATTGCTAGAGTACTAACACCGAGCATACATGCTATCTGTCGCCTGCTAGTCATAGGACATCAAAACTTTGTATTGCTAGTCGGACATGTCGTTTTCTCAGACAATGTTTCATTGTTGAACAGCTTTCGCTAGTTATTCGTATACATTTTTATAACACGGGATTTTTCAGAAATGTCTGGATGCAGCAGTGCTAAACATTTCAAGGGCAATAAGATTTATCGCCCGTTTTAGAAAATACGATTCACTTTCAAACAGAATGAGATTCGGTATGTCGGCCATTTTAAATGACCGCAATTTTAGAGAATGATGAAGAGTTCGTCTTAAAAACTACTTAAGAGAGTGTATAATGGTGATGTTAACTGGTATGATAATGTTTCTTTTTAGGTCTTGCAGTATTATTTCCAGTATAGTACATGCGGATTGTTCGCATAGACCTTCCCTTTAATGTATCTCCTGGGAAAAAAACTTAGGGCAATAAACAAGTAAGGAAGGCCATAATCCTTTTGACATTTTTAGTTGCTGAAAACCTGCAAAAGAACTGCACGGTTCCACTTAATGTGTGAAAAGTGGCACTGTTTTGCTGAAGCCAACTTTATCGACTAAAGGAACGCATTAAACCGTGTGTAATGATATCTTGGCACACTGCTTTGATCATTGTAATTTCAAAGAAAACAGAGCCCATTTTTCAAAGACAAATTACAAACCCAGAGCAATGATATTTTATATAAACAGAGCAATGATATTTTATATAAACATATGGATTTCCGAATGAAAAGTAGACGTAATCCTATTGTTTTGAACTGTTTACATATCCACTAAGGTAGAGCCACACCTCATCACTGAAAAAGAAAGGATAATGTCTAAATTTCATGGTTATAACAAATGACTGGAACCATCTTCTGTACGTTAAGTGTTTCTATTTATCCAGTCTTTCAATTCCTGCATATAGCAAACAGAATAGGCACGAAGATGTAACACCTTCACTGTTTTGTGAGTTTTTCTGTATGAATAGCTGATGACACTCAGAAACAGATCGAGCTGGTCTGACTGGCACGGTCAACACCCCATAATTAATGAACTCGCAAAGCAGTTTTTAATGGAAAATATTTTTATCATTTGACGATAGAGTACTAAATTTTTAAAACAGTAATTTTGGACTTTTTTTTCTAGATACAATGTTAAAACAATTCCATTTTATTATATAAATTTAAAGTATTGGTCTACTTTTATTGTTGTTATTATTATTATTAGTAGTAGTAATAGTAGTCCTTATTTTTTATTTTTTAAAATTTTGGTAGATTCATTCTGTTTATTGACCTGTCGCCGTCCCTGATGAATTATAAAAATTGACGGGAAAAATAGTATCTGATAATCGAGTTCAACTGTATATTTATTTCCCTTTACCGCTGTTTCTTTTGCACCTTTCTGAATGAATTTTCCTTTCAATAGCAAGTAATGGTAACAAAGCAAATTGCTTGCTAAAATATTATGCCCTCAATCAAAAAACGCTTTTCATTGTTTTCATACTTTCCGAAGCGTAATGATTTCGTTTTCTTTAGTCCTTATGCAGTTACGCACTTCTACAACGGAAAACCCTTAATATGACAATAAAGAAATAACTTTAATGTAGTGATAAAAATTCAAAATCATGTTGTGGAAGAATGTGTTATGTCTCCCAACTTAAGGTACCATCAGCACCCGCAGACTCGTTGATCTAACTGAAATTATGACATCACACTAAAGCTTGTCGCTTACTTTTAAAAGCGTGGCACAAAGAAGAGACGTGAGCAGTTATCCAGTTTTAGAGTACTGATTATGAGAAACCGGTAAATATTCAGCAAAAGATAAAAAATAGCATTGCAGACACCTGTGTATCATTTCAATATATTTATGATGAGCACTCTAAAGAATATTCTTCTTTGGTAAATCGCAGTACAAGTAATGAAATAAAAGAAGGTATGCAAATCAATCATTATGCAATCAGAAAGAAAAGATTTTTTTCTTGTAAAACTCAAACCATACTGAAGCAGTGGTACATATATCCTGATCTTAGTGAAGACTATGTTAAAAACAATGAAGTGTTTTCAGTCTTGTTTTTAATTATTAGGTCGTAGTTAAGTTATTTTGCAAGGTAATTTGACGTCTGTTAAAAATTTTTTCGGATCTTGCATCTAATCTACTCATACTTTCATCCATACTGAATCACACGTTCTTTAGCTTGATATACAAAATAATGCAATATTTAAAGCCATGCGGCAAATGTAGAGAAAACAAATTCGTAAGATGAAGTGATTCCAATTGGTGAAGTCTGAAAATGTGCTAAACCACGTGCCAAGAAGTTCTCCAAAATAGAGCTCCTAATACCATGGGACTACAGCTTGCTAAAAAGAGCAATTCGAGAGTAATATTTATTTTAATAATTTACAGTTAGGCATAAGGATTAAGAAACTCTTTCTTTCAGACATAAATTAACTTAAGATTGGATTTAAGTTGTTTGTTTTTTAGTATATATCAAAACAGCTATTGAACATTGTCTCTTGAACATTTGAACATTGTCTATTGAACATTTCTTGGTTACTTATTATGACCACAATTTATTTTACAAGCAACAATTTCAGAGAGTTATTATCCAATTATGGATATATAAAGTTATTTATAAAAAATTTTTCCTGGTTTCTCTTTTGCAGTGCGACGAATCATTTCGGCCATGATGCAGCATATTACCTATACGGAGTTTCTACCTCGAGTCCTAGGTAAAAAGTTAATGAAAGAACTGGAGTTAACTTCCAAAGCTTATGACTATGATCCTTTCTGTGACGCTACTATATTCAATGAATTTGCTTCAGCTGCTTATAGATTTGGACACACGCTTTTAAAGCCTATGCTAAGAAGACTCACTGCTGGATACAAGACAGCTTCCGGAAAAGAACCTATTAGACTCAGGAAAGCTTTTTTTAATCCTGATACTCTGTATGAAAGTAAGAATTTGTCGTTAACTTAAGTCTAATTAAAAGCAGTCTTAGAATAGGCCATAAAGACAATTCAATTAAAAAAAAGATATCAGTTTAAGGAAGAACTTTTTTTTATAATCCTATTCCTTAAATTCAATTAAAAGGTAATTTTAGAATGGATTATAAATACCGATAATAATTTAGTACATGCTAGCTAGTTTCTTCGGCCTGAGTTTTCTGATTTCCGAGGACTTTTAACTATGAGATTCTAACACGGTGACTAAAGTGGATGGCATAGGTAAAGTAATATGAATGAGTGAATACAATTCTTCACTTCTTTAGTTGCAGAAGATCTGTAAATCGTATTTTAGCACCATCACTGCCATTTTTTGGCGTGGTGTTCCATGTAGAATTCCTAGTACCTTTCCCATAATTTGATTTTGAGATAGAATGTATCCTGACTATAATGTCTTTGAAATCTAATTCTTCGTATACTTTTGCTGGTATAAATCTATATTTCCAGCATTTATTACTGGTGAAATACAAAATTTCGTTTACATTGACCAGATCCGAATTATTAAAATTCGGCCGCAAATGGGAATTGGTATGTTTAATAGATCATAAGTACGACTCATCTTTAAAAAAACCACTAGTACTAAGATGTTCTAAATTGTCATGATATGAAATTGCAGAGTACGAGATATATAGGAATTCCATATTTATTCACAAAGCAGGATCAGCAATAGGTATTCAGCTAGTATACTACCAATCTAGATCCTCAAACATAAAGTAACATAACGTTAGTTACAAATCTTTATAACTCAAACTTGCATATGCATATGCATATTACATATTTATTAATGTATAATTTTACCTTGATGAAAATATCACATATGGCACAAAGCATTCATCACTCTTGATATTACTTAACTTTTACTTCGAGTTGTTTTCTACCTAATTAAAAATATTTCGATATTGAAGTTATCATATATATATATATTAATTTCTTACGCATTTTTATCATATTTACAATTTCTGCCTCAGTTCATTATTAAGCACTTTCGTTTTGGCAACTCTGAAATATCCATTGTGTTAATTGAAAAAATAAACAATGCATAATATAATAAATGGTTAATAATGACACAGATAAAAGCTTGACTAGTTTATTATCTATGTCACTGAATATGTACTGCCCTCTTTAAGCAGATTTAAAAACTAATTGTGGGTAAAATAATCTCAAGGCATGAAATGGAAGACCAAATATTTTTATTGATTTGCTAAATAAAAAACTTCTGTAATTAATTTTTATCATGAATATAACACACTAATAGTTCATATTAAAAATAATAAAACTTCATTATTTAAAAAATTAATTAGATTACAAAACAAAGAGGTTGAACAACATACAACTTAAAGGGACAAGCATTTTGCCTATGATCATATTTTTTTAAGATTTATATCTAAAAAATTTCAATTCTTTTTTTTTTATATTTTAATTGTAGAAATATATTTATTGTCATCTTTATGCAATGCAATGTTCGAAATTAAACTTTAAATGTTAATTTATCTTGAATTTTTTTTTTTTTTTTTTTTTTTTTTTTTCTCTGGGAGAACGCATGTGGGCAAAATTTGAAAACGGGCTATTTAATGTTTTGCAAGGTTTCTGGAAACAAAATAAATAACCATTTATAAATTCTCGAATTAACCAGAATATAGCATATGGTATAAGCTAGAAAACAAACTCTACCGTTCCTGCAACTCCTACAAATAAAAATATATGTTACTGAGTACAGTTTCCTTATGAATACAACATGGATTGTATGCTTTTTATAGCCACTCTGTATGATTTATATTTTTAAACAATTGTTTGTTACCTTGATTTTGCCCTTGAAATTTATTCTGCCTTCAAAGAAGAAATGTTCTGTTTTTCAAACTGTTGTCATCTTGATGTCTGTATTAAAAGCTTGGCTTAAATAATTCCCAGATCTGATTATATTTTTCCTTTAATCATTCTGCTGCTAGAAAACGCCATCGATGAAGTACTTCGTGGCTTGCTCAGTAGCAGTGTGGAAGTATTTGATCATTCTATTACTTCAGAAGTGACAAACCACCTCTTCGAAGACAATAGGGTACCATTTTCAGGAATGGATCTCGTTTCATTAAATTTGCAGAGAGGAAGAGATCATGGTTTGCCTCCGTACAACGAATACCGGACTTTGTGCAATAAGACTAGAGCCAAACATTTTAACGATCTCAAAGAAGACATCCCAGAGCACATTGTGGAAAGGATAAAGAGTGTCTACGAGTAAGTTTAATTATAAAGGAAAATCATTTTAAAATTGAAAGTATATTTAATTTATTCTAACTTTGGTTGCTCAAAAAGTGATGAAGCTTATACTCTCACAATAGCAACATGAAGCCATAAGGCAGATGTGAGGCGAGAAGCCGGGAGATGTGAAATATTTATCGAACGAAACTTCGTCAGAACATTTCACGATTTAGAAATGAACAGACATATAAAAGAACATATAGCTGTGCCGTCATAAAAACATTAACTCTGCAAGGCGTTGTAAGTGTAAGCACTGTTGCTCATCGCTTGTGAAAAACAATTAGTCACTTGCTTAAAGTAAAAAGATCATTAGAAAGTGTTCAGCAATATTCTTTTCGTTCAAAAAAGTGTAGGGCATAAACACATGCGCATCATATCATAGTTATCAAACTTCACATGTCAAGAAACCATTATGTGGTCGTTACTTCACTGCCCTATAATGATTCAAACATGTTGTCCAGAATTGGGCAGAACAATGTACTAAAGGGATAAATTTATACATGCGAAGAAAAGTATTATGAAAAGGAGCGTGTAGACGTTTTCGATTAAATAGTGCGTCAATACTCTGTTACCACATTCTTTTTTGAGCAGCCTTCTTAAATAGCAAGTTTTTTAAATAGTGCCCTATTTATTTAAATACTAAAGCTCTTAAAAATGGTTATTAGAAAAAAGTCATCGGAACAACATCGTTGAAAGACTGTTAAACATATGTAAATGAATCAAACTTTTAAAAGCTATGAAAATTACCTGTCTTAGCATAACCCTCCAGAATGGGTTGAATCATTTTATTTAATGAACACTAAGAATTTAGGAGGGGGAAATTAAAAATATGAAAAGATTCAGATGTTAACGTCACCGAAGCTTTTGCTAAGTTTTTTTCACAGTCTCGTTGAGATCGCAGTTTATCTATCTGCTCTTAAACTCACAACTGCTCATCTTTTGAACTTTATTATTAAACATCACTTTCTTTGCATTTACCTCACATAAAATTCGACAGCGAAATCCTAAAATTTTTTTTAAAGCAGCATTCCTTTAGAATTCTCAATACAATGTCAAGTGTTGCCATCCAGTTTTTAACCCAGAAGGGCCTATTCTCGAGCTTCATTTTTCCGTCGAATCACTTTTGTTGTCCGTTTCTTTTTCTAAATAACTAGCCAATGGTGAGCCAGCCTTCTAAAACAGTTATAATATATATAATGCAAACTAAATAAAAAAAAAAAAATATGTTTAAAATCCATCCTATATTCAAGTCAGAACGGACCATAGGAAAAAAGAAACATAAGCACAGTGGCAAACTGCATGATAGATGCAAAAAAAATGTTAAAACCGAATAATACTTAAAATAATCTCAGAAAATTAATCAAAGTAATCTGTGTCTGTATCAGTCCAACCCCTAAATACCGTAGTAAGTCGTGGAAAAACTGCAGAATTATAGTACCAAAATCATAAACAAGCTAATATTTTTAATGTTTAAAATATTTGTTTAAAAAATTTAAATAATTTAACATTATTAAAAAATTTTAATTAAAAAAATTTTTGAAAAAATAAAAAATTACAAGTAAACCCTAAAAAGTGTGAAATATTGCCCTACATTTCTTATATTCGCTATATTATTTCTTTAAAAATAATACATAGAAATACGTGACTACATCCATTTATTTGTGTTGTATCTTTCTATATTCGTTTTAAAAATAATATATGGCGATAAAATTTGGTGGGAATATTTGGAAAGTAAATACGAATACAAAAATGAGGTTTGAGGCTAATATTAAACTCTGGTGTTAATGGTTTTCACCATATATCTCATCTTCTCCAGAATGGGGAAAAAAATTTTCCTGAAGAAGAAGGACTTGTGTCTAATCACGCTTGAAAACAATAGATTTATTCAAACTCTATGACAATCTAAGTTTGCTTTTTTTATCTAATTTTAAATCAGATCTTATGTTTAAAATGATCTGTTCAGAATAGTAAAAATAAATTTGCGGAAAAAATAATTACTGTGATATTATTTCATCCTTAATTAACGTCGTGTATCTTACTTAATCAAATAATGAGTTTATTATTCAAAGCAAAGTTTTGAATTTGCATCCGAGATTGAACTGAATAGTTTGCATCCGAGATTTCTAGCAGTTATTTCCCTTAATTGGAAATATTTTCGTATTTTGCCAGGACACGAATTCAACTTACTGAAAACAATAATTACTTTTTTGAAGTGTTTAATATAAATTTAAGCAAGTTTCAACCTTAGATTGGCGTTGGCTTTTTATTCTTTCGTAGCGTTGCCGCTTATTCTAATGTGCAGAGTCGGTAACTTTTTATTAACTCTATCACACTGAGTAACCCTCTGTTAATGATTTTAAAAACTGATTTACAAACAGCAATCAGCATAAAACGTCAGCAAAAATACAGCCGTTGAATTTTCAGTCAGGTCAGTCAGTGTCAAATACAGCAGTTAAATTTTCATGAATGTAGCGACTGGAATTTTAAGATGCAAAAAATTAACATCGACATTTTAGAGCGTTTTGATGGTTCTGATGGCATACAGATCAAACATAAACATTTTATCGATCTTAATTCGAAATTTATACCGTGTTGATAATTATGCTCTTAATTCTAAATTTATACTGTGTTGATAATTATTCTCTTAATTCTAAATTTTTACTGTGTTGATAATTATTCTCTTAATTCGAAATTTGTTCTGTGTTGATAATTATTCTCTTAATTCGAAATGTATACTGTGTTGATAATTATTCTCTTAATTCGAAATTTATACTGCGTTGATAATTATTCTCTTTTTGAAAGACAATAAAAGAACTTGAGGAATAATGTAAGTTTGAATTTTGTCTTTACTTGTAATGCATATTCAGATTTAAAATAGAAATTTTAATTTTTTCTTTATTCTCAGACATGTCGATGACATAGATCTCTTTACTGGAGGCGTGGCTGAGCAACCTATGTACGGAGCACTAGTGGGTCCAACATTTGGATGCATTATATCAAAACAGTTTATCAATCTAAGGAAATGTGACCGCTTCTGGTACGAAACACAAGATCCTTTTTTGAGATTTACACAAGGTAAGTGAACTTATCTGTTTCTTAATAAATATTCCAAGCATTTCATGGAAATAAAGGCATAAAATGACATAATTTGTTTTTTAAATACGAAACAAATTATCATAGTACAGTACCATTTCTTTCATTTTGCATTGCCAATTTAGGAGATAATCTCTAAATTTCAGAAAAGTAACATCTGTAGATTTGAAGCTAGATTTTTAATTCAGAATACTTTCTTGTATTTTGAACCACAACCGCAATTTATAAACCTATAAATTTCTAAATTTAATGCAACTGCCTAACTAACATAGTTAGGTTGTTGTAAGTAGACAGCCCTGTACAACAGGTTAACTGGGTTATCTTTATAACCTAATTAGCCTAACAACCTTGTACAATTAGTTTGTTACCTTTATAATCTAATTGAACAGGGCCGTCCAGAAGCCTGTTAATATTTCAAAAATTTCTGAAAATCCCATAATTGAACGCAAGGAATGTAGTTTACTTAGGAATCACAAGAAAAGGGTATTTGACGGGACATACTCATAATTTATTTTTTTTCAAAGCACTGGGACCTTTAGGCTATGTTACGTTATTAGGAGATTTATCCTAAACGCTGCCCGGCAGATGTGCCGTATAGCCTTTTCTTACATCCTATTATATAAAATGTAAACAGTTTGATTTGTAAATACTCTGACAAATTTGATATATATGTAGATATAGAGAGAGAGAGACAAAAACTAAGAAATTTAGAACCAATTTCACAAAGACCCCCCAAAGAAGTGAAATTCAGTACCATTATATTTCAAACAACCCTATAAATATACAGAAAAAAGTCAGAAGAATAAAATGTGAAATACTAAAACTTCCAAAATTACAAAAAACAGAAAAAATGCTAAAGAAGAGGAATTCAATCAAATATGACATAACGTTAGCAAGAGAAGGATACATCAGATTCAATTGTCCCACCCCCTTCTAATTGAAAACCACTGCGTTTTTGTTATCCAAAATTAGCTAATGAACCATTCTAAATTATTTAATTATAACAGTTTATCCAAAACTTCTGAATTCCTCTATGACGCAAGTTAAGTAAAAATTCTCTAAATCCGAAAAAGCAATTGAAATTAGACACTTTTAACTGAAATTAGAATTGAAATAATGCAAAACTTAATCATTGATTGCATGTTATATTTTTTAACATATAACTGCTGCCGTTTTAAAAAATTTAGAGATAAAAAACAATAAACGCAGTTCTTAATAAATCACATTTATTTTATTTTTGAAAAATTAATAATACATTTAATGTTAATTCATAATATATCCTAATAATAATTTATTACAAATATTTTACTTTTCTTTTGTAACTAATAAATGCTTTTAACGCCGTGTATAATGACCTCGATGCAAAATAGTAATTTGCTCACTATTTGATATTTTTATGGCATATATATAATGTATTAGACAAATATTAAGTAAAATATGCACACCCAGGAGCGTAGTACCGTATCCGTAATAGCACTCACAATCAAAATAGCAATATAAATGACACTGAATACAGCATCGCGTATTCAATGTCATTTGTATTGTTATTTTGATTTTTTTAACCGGGACTGTTTGCATAGTATCTGACTTAACTATTAAAAACTGCATTTCGGCGATTCCGGCTATAAGATTTTGCAGGTCGATTGAATATGCATTTACAGAGATTAACATTTTGTGTTTTTAATGTAAAAATTGCAACATGCAAAGTTCGCTTGTTGCTGGCTGTAGACAAATAAATAACCTACGATCGTGTTGGTTTTTTTAATAAACAAATCATGCACGTAATTGTATTACAGAGTCTCGTTCTCCTGGGGAACATAAACTAAGAGAACTCTAAACTTAAGTCTTAAGCAACTTATCGATATATCTTGTAAATTACCACAGAGCCTGTAAAAGTTGTAAACGACCCTTTTATTTAACTCATATAAAGTTTAACCTCTAGCCTGAACTCAGTTCGGGCAAAAGAAAAATCGGTGCTTCAAATTGTGTGAAGCCCAAACTCAGTTCGTCTAATGCCTAATACGTAATAATTTACCATTTTCCCAATATATGGGCCTTAAATTTATAAATATACGACCAATCAGGAAGGACTTACCACTCAATCCCCCCCCCCAAAAAAATGAAAGAGAGGTGACGTTCTGCTCTTCCAGCGTGGGAAAGTCACAGTCCTAAAATGGCACGAAAAGAAAGAAATTTACCTGCTTTCTTCTGTCCATGTTTCAGAAATGATTGAGACGAAAGATTGGAAGAAGCAAAAGAAACTGAAACCTAAAGTAGTTGAACAACACTATGGGAGGTGTTGATAAAGTTGACCAACACCTTACAGACTATCCCATTGAAAGAAAACGTGGAAAGAAATACTATGTAACGATAGTTTCCCGTCTTCTGGATAAGGCACTTTGGAATTTCTTTATTATTCATCAGTTGTCAGGTGGTGCAAAATGTAATATGGACTGCAGAATCTCAATTATGGAACAAATCATGAAAGATAATAAGCCACATATTCAGCCGACAGGAACAGGGCGTCCTAATATGAACTTGTTGCGCCTTACGGTAGACACTTTCCACCTACGAAGAAAAAGACTACTCTAACCAGACAGTGTTTCCTTTGTTGTCGTAAAACTGATGAAAAGGGAGAGAGGATACGACGCGAGACTCGAGTTTATTGTAAAGACTGGTGATGTAGGCTTGTGTGCCGTTCCATGTTTCCGTATATACCATACTGTAAAGGAATAAGGCCAAGTAAGAGTAAATTTTAATAGTAAAATTGCAATATGCAAATTAGTGGCACTGCACTCGAAATACGTCATCTGCGAGGAGCATAAAAATCCATGTTTCAGAGCAAGCTCACATATTTCACTGTGATAGTGACATCAGAAATCTGAGATAGCCAATTCATTACAATGACCTCCAGGCATCATTTGCCTGCAGAACTACGATGGAGAGCCATTGGGAGACTAGAGGCAGGACAAAGTCAAACAGAGGTGGCTAGAGGGCTAAATGTGAGTCCTTCTGTGGTTCATAGACTTTGGAGGCAATTTCAAACCGCAGATTTCAAATTATGCCATTAGACTTAATTATGCGATCTATCTAGGAGGTTCAGCCAAGGACGGCCAACTGCTACGACGAGTGTCGATGACCGATATTTGACATTATGTGCACGCAGGAATAGAACCGCTACTCCGATTCTTCTTAGATCCTTCCTTCTTGCAGCCACCGGAAGGTTAGTATCAACGTCAACTGTGCGTAGAAGGCTTCACGAAGGTGGTCTGTATGCGAGGCGACCAGCCATTTGCGTGCCTTCCACGTTACGCCATAGGAGGGACCGTTTGCAGTGGGCACGACAACATGTCCACTGGACAGCTGATCAATGGAGGGCTGTTCTCTTAACGGATAAGTCTAGGTTTAGTCAAGAAAGCGATAGCAAGCGTTATTTGATATGGAGAGAATCTGGAACCCGTTATCATCCGTCAAACATCCGTGAAAGAGATGCATACAAAAGAGGCAATGTCTGTGTTTGGGGTGGCATCTCTTTGGCTGGACGCACAGACCTCCATGTCTTTCCAAGAACCGTGAATGCTCACGTTTGCAGTTTGCAGAGATGACATCCTTGATGTTTATATGCGCTCATATGCCGGGGCTATAGAGGATGCTTTCCTGTTACAGGACGACAACGCAAGACCACGCAGGGCTCGCATCGTAGATGATTATCTTTAACAGGAAACAATTATGCGCATGGAGTGGCCAGCTCGATCCCCGGAATTTAATCCTATCGAGCACGTTTGGGATGCTTTAGGGAGACGTCTAGCTGCTCTCAATCCGCCCCCTAAGACCCTTGTCGCGCTTGCAACTGCTTTGCAAGAGCAATGGCTCTCGCTTCCTATGGAACTGATAGATCGCATAATTAAAAGCATCACACATCGCTGTATGTGCTGTATTGCTTCTAGAAGCGATCATATTCCATATTGAAGGTATTTTTCCTATAGCAAACTGACACCTTCGATTTGTTCATTTTATACATGTGCTAATTTCTATACTACCATATTTGTCTGGTAATTTCTTTTTATGTTATATGATAGCTTACTATATGTTGTATATTTTGGGTAAGTTTCATTAAATTTTACATGTAACTTTTTCAGTAATCGTGATTTTTGTGATTTTTCCTTAATTTATGATAACCAGTGTATTTATCTTGAAAATTATGTCATTTGATTTATTTTACTATAATTTGAGCAAAAATCACTGTAATCCATTAATATTTCCCATATATGTGAAACTATTGAATATAGTAGTTACTTCGTTTAAAATTTTGTTTTTTAAAAAAGTTATGTATTTCTAACATTTTGATGATAATAACGAACAAAATTAAAGAGAAAAAATATTTTCCATTTTTGGCACGTTTTTCTCAAATATATTTTGGCACGTTTTTCTCAAATATATTTCACAGGCAAGGGGTTAATAGAAAGCACGGCCCTATGCTTACTGAATCAGCCAGCATTCATGGCGTAAGTCAAAAAATAAGATAATCCGAATTAAAACTAAGTTAATCGTAAGTTAGCCGAAAAGGCTACACAGACAAAATATAAGCAAGTTGGCTCAAAAACCTCATGTCGGTGTGGCAAGCCTAATGGCTAGAATAATGCAAAGTTTTGCATATAAACTGCTCTCAAGAGAATAACGTGGCCTTCAGCAGGTGGAACACTCTCTGATTCTATCATTCAAAACCTTCCTTTATATACTATCTCTTTATACCTCATTTATATATGCGCGAACTATTTCTGGCAGGAAAATGGAAAGCGAGAAAGACAGGAAAACTTAATCAACATAGAATAGCTGGTTAACGAAACTGAATGTATATTCTACAGTATATTTCACAAAATCAAGTTTAAACAGCACGCGGATTTATAGTACGTATTACCATATAAATGCTTTTAACTTTTCTTATGAAAGCTATGAGAATATATGAAGAAATATTTACTTGTCTTTTTACATATGCAAATATAAACTAAACTGAAATCCAGCGGTAGCCGAGCGCATAAGAATGCTAAATCGTCTCGGGCTCAATTTACAGGCTCGCTTGTTAAAGAAGTTTGGCGGCTTTCCGGTGTGCAGTGAGTTTTCTATACAGTTTCCTTTCGAACGTCTTCGTTGATGTCATCCTTCTTAACGCAGATAGCTCGCATTTATTTTGACATATGCAATTAATCGAACATACATTCCTCTTTCTGTCCACTTTTTATTTATTTATTTCATTACTTAAAATAAGATATTAATTTAATTTTAAGGATTTTACATTTCCTCATTGTGTCACCAAGTATTTAAGAACTTTACTTCAAAACATTTCATACAAATCGAAGTAATTACTGTCATTCGTCAGTTTAAGAAATTGGACTGTCATTCGTCAGTTTAATAAAGCTAAATTCTAATTGTTTGAAAAGCCTTGAATCTGACAAAACTTTGACTGGAGCTTTCTATTAATATTATTAATGAAAATCATATAGAATCAGCAATATTTGATCTTCTTTACTTAATTTTAGATTCCCATTAATAGAAAATATTTCTCATGCATACTTCGATAAATTGTGAAAAATGTATCAGTGTTATCTTTGACATCTGAAAAATTATTTCTTCTGAGTTTTGGTTTATTTTTTTGTAACGCTGATTTTTCCCCTTTTTTACTAAACATTAATTTAAATATTTTTTATCTGCAGATCAGTTATCGGAAATTCGTAAAACAAATATCGCAAAAGTATTTTGTGATAATTCTGATACTATCGTATCCATACAAAGAAAGGCCTTTGACCTGCCAGATGATTTTTTGTAAGTATACTAATTATTGTGCCTTTGATTATTATTAACATAAACGATTATTTCATATGAAAAATTTAAATATCTATATTAATTTTGTTTAATTAAATGCTCTTAATTCTGAATGAATGAATTTAACATAGAAAAAATAATACTTATCACCTTTACAGAGCAATGCTAAGCAACCACGTCATCCAATAACTGGGGAAAGCAACATCGGAACAATAAACAAGAAATAACAACAACCAAAACGTATGGTTTTCCAATGCACACAGATACATAATTTCCTGCTGGCAAAATATGTTTTAACAATTACGTAAATTATCGTTGTCGGTCCTATAAATTAAGATATGTAACTACTGGCAAAACTCGTCAGATAAAGTTAATTAGAAAACGGAAGGAAATTACCAACTACAAATGGCATAATGTGATTAAAATTCACAAAATACCTTTCGAAGTCCGTCCGTATCTTTTTCTTCAACTATTAGTTATAAAATGAAACCCAGAATCATTTATTTGACCAAGGTTAATGTACAAGAAATAGCTAATAGAATAACGAATAAATAGCTCTTATGTGACGTCACTAATTCCTAGTCTGCTCAAAAGCAACTACTCCCTTTGCGTCTTTAGGTGTTTTTGCCGAGCGGGAAGGTACGTTTGCTTCTCGACTCCATATTTTCTTAATCTTTCGCTGCGTAGTTTGCAACTCTTAAGTGCTTATAGTAGGTAATTGTTGGAATTTAATTTCAGAGCACTGTAAAACGGCCTAGCCTGATTAACAGCTCTGAACTTTGGTTACGATCTCAGTTTTACTATGAATCGTTATCTCGATTATATAGCTTCTGTAATCACCAGCTTAGAAGTTATCCGAAAACGTAATGGATATCTTTCTGCACGAGAAGAAAGATACCTCGGATTCTTTCTTTTTTCGGTTCCTTCATCTGTTTCAGAACGTTCGCTGTAAATGAATTTTAGCGAAATCAAAATTGCTCACCCAGAGATATAAGCCAAGATAATATATCCTTCCTAACTCAGATGGTGAAGGAATCACCAATGGAAGCAGGACGCTTCACTAATGGCTAAGGATTCAGCGAATAACCTACAGATCCTACAGCTTGGATAATTCTACTGACGAAATCATTTAATTTAAGCCACTTGATGAAAGTTAGGACTCTGAAGGAGAATCAAAAGGAAGCGAAACTGTTGATCATTGCCGCAAAAGACTTAAAAAGGAACTTTCAGCCCAAACCAAGAAAGATTCCACTTCAAAAAGAAAAGCTGAAGAAAACTCGACTTTGACTGCTATAGAAATGATAAATGCTGACAAAGATGAGAATATTTATAATTTTGGTGGATTCACATACCATAAACACTCAAAAAAAGTGACACCAATCACGATACAGAATTCAAGTTTTAGCTAAAAAGATATCCTTAAGATGATTTAAGAGGAAAGAATTTACAATAATGAATGGAGACGAAAAATTCTTACAGATGGTCATTACATCCTCAACGAAGACAATCCTCGCATCTACAAAACTTTTATTCATATGCTCAAAAGCAAAGATATAAAATTTCACTGCTTTCCGCTTTCGAGGAGAGAGAACTGAAGGTAGTCATTAAAAGTCTTTCTGCTTCTACGGACGTCGACGAAATCATGCAAGATCTCCTAGAAACTGGATTTTAAGTTAACAGTGTTAAGCAGATGATAAAAAGAAGGAATGAAGAAAAGATCCCCCGTCCCCCTATTGTTTGTTGTCTTCAAGAAAACTGATCGAAAAGCATCTCTGATCTCAAATTTCTAGAAAACCTGAAAATCAAAGTGGAACAATAACGATGATGTAAAGGCCCAATTCATTGCCTGAAATATTAAGGGTTTCGCCACTCGCAGGCCCACTGCAATAAGAACCCACGTTGCGCGAATTGTGGCGACAAGCATTTTTCATATTAATGCGAAAAACAAAAGAATATCGCACTTTTGTGCTTACTGCTCTGATTCTCACATTTCAAATTTTCATAGATCAGAGAAATTCCCTGGAAAAGAGAAAAAATCCTTGTTAAATCATATCAAGAAAGATTCATCGTAAATTCTACGCTACTGCCTTCGCCCCAGCAAACAACCCCAAGCCTCCTGGGAAAATCGCAGACGCGAAGAAAATATTACAAGATTTGAAAACCGTGGTTCTGTTCTTCAAAACCTCAGGAATTTCCGAACTAGCAAACAACATCGCTAAGATTCAAGGTGTAGCCCTCCAAAAACAGTCAACCAATCATGCATAAGTTTACTCAAAAAGCGCGACCAATCAGAATTATAGTACGCAACGTCTGCTACCTTGCGAACAAACTAGACGAATTCTGCTATTTTATGGTGGAATATGACACTGAAAATGCTCTTGCATCGGAACTTTCAAAAATCCTACCCAAAATATAAAAAAAAGTGAACTATAATTACTTATGTAACCGAATCCGTCATAAAGGGGAGGTGTGGCAGTCTCCGTATAAAGATCTCCTCAGTCTAGTTTTGTATGTACAGATAACGCCGACGGATATAAAATTATATAACTGTTTCTACAATTTTCCTTAAATTTGGAAATGCATTCTTTAGCGCATTTTATAACCCTCTGGATAATAGATTGTTAGACGAATTTCTCTCCGTGCTGATTCCGGATAACTCTTTCTTCTAATTTTCGCAGGTGATCCGAATGCGAAACTTACAGAATAAGGATACTGTAACAACGGAACAATTCCACACTAGTTCATATAGAATCGTCCCGCATCTCTTTACGCACCACAAGAAGCAATGTGTCGCCAAATTGCCTTCTCCGACGACCACACATCCTGGATTTAATTCTCTCAAGCGCCTCCAATCCCACGGCTGTAGATAACAAAGTAGAATTTTCTTCGGCCCACATTCTATCCTTGGCTAAACTGGAATACCGCAGACTGCTGCAAAATCTACTACTGACTAGAGGCTGTTTTATAACCTCCTCCTCGTCAATCATTCAAACATTCAACATCTTGAAATCTAGAGCAAATCGAATACAAAAGTACAGGAAATTACCGACAGCATCATACAGGCATATAAAAATACTACCAAACTGTCTTCACTAAGAATAAAATCACCAAATTCCCAACAGAGAGACCATTAATCTACGAAATTACGTCAAAAAAAGAGAACAGGTGACCAGCTACCAAAAAAGAAGTCAGCAAACTCAATAAAGTTACCAAGAAATTAACAAATAATTATAGAGCAGATTCATGTGAGCATAAAATCACCAACCTGGAAACAATGGATGGTTCCTTTTGGAACTTCATAAGCAGACTTGAGCAGAAAGCCTTCAGTAAAAAGCCGCTGCATGCAGAAAAATCACATTGCATATTCTGACAAATAGAAAGCACAGGTCTTCAGGTTTCAAAAGCATTCGACAGAGAGTGCCACATTGGTCTTGCATATTCAGCTGAACTTCATATAAATTATGAAATTAATCTATTCATTCCTAAACCAAAGATGTTTCGTAGTAAAGCAGAGAAATGAACTGTCGTCCTTCGATCAATGAGAGCTTGAATTCCGCAAGGTTCGATCCTTGGACCAGTTTTGTATCATTTCTACGTTCACGATTTCTCGAAGCCTGGTGTTTACATAAATTCATTTTTCGCATGCTACGCAGACAACACTGTACTAGTGGTATGTGAACCCAAAGCACGCAACTTGAAAGTTACAAGCCGAGAGTGGCGACACTGAATACTGGTGCACACAGTGAAGAATTAGTACCATCGCCTCTACATCACAGTTCCTTCATATGCAAAGGCATAAAATCAAGAGGCATCTGGACTTAACGTCCCAAAAGTAAGATCAGTAAGCTGCCTTGGTGTTATACAAAATAAAAACCTCACATGGGCTGATCACACCATGTATATTCCCAGCAAGGTGAACTCAGTACGTTCGGTTATTGCGTTACTTTATTGAAAGAAACTCCTTCGGAAAAGGATAGTCGCTAGATAGCACCCCAAGATTGTTTATAATGATTAGGTAAATTGAAGATGCTGTTAGAAAATTCTTCGATAGCAAATTCTAATGATGATTTTGATAGCGCTGTTCATTAATCTTGTGCTTAAAAGCTCATTTGCCCCTGATGAGTATTTTAATGACACTGATGATGAAACTGCTCGCTGAGATATCTCTAGTACATGAAATACTATTAACTTCGGTCATATAATGAAGTATCACAAGATGAAATCTATTCGAAGCAAGGATATTCATTCTCCTTATAGTGTTCGATTTATCGAAAGTATGGAAAATTATTTCGACATCTGCTGAATGATGCATGACCTCTTCTTATATCAAATTTTTAGTGTACTTGCAGCTGACTAGACAGAAACTATACTATGTTCAAATAATGTGTCTAATTGCAGTTTAAAACATAAAATTTAATTTTTATTATTTTTCTTACAAATCTTATCGTACAATTATTTATTAAAATTAATTTCTCATATTTTTTGATATATTTATATTGTTTTACACCAATATGACTTTTTAACTTAAATTTTATATTGTTTTATACCAATATGACTTTTTAACTTAAATTTTATATTATTTTATACTAATGTTTATTATTTTAATTATTATTTATTATTTCTACTCGAATATTTATATCATTCTAAAACTTTATTATTTTTGTTGTAATATTTATATTATTTTAATGCTTACATAAAATTGCACTTCCTGAACACGCTATTTTTTCCCATTTTGCAGAAACCCACGTATGCCTTGCACGAATCTACCAAGTCTAGATTTAAGCCACTGGAAAGATAAGACTTCATGCCACCTAAACACTGGTGATGAAGGTTTTACTGTTGCTATGGGTCATTCGCACAGAATTTCACCTTGTGTGACATGTTCTTGTACAAAAGAAGGGGTAAATAATTTCCTAATATCAGATTTTCCTAAACGTTTGTATCATTAATGGAACAGACTTTTTCCCTCAATGCACACTCGAAAGCTAGGGGGTCGGATTCATTACCCAAGTAATGAAAATTTTTTAATAAATAACAGTTGATTACGAAACCAAGTATTATTTCAATTATAATTTTTACTTCTATGTTGAGTAAATCAAATAGGTTGTTCAAAACACAAAATAATATATATATATAAACATTTGTACAGGTTGTTTTACTGCATTTCGTAGGTATTATACTTTCTTGCAAATCGGAAATCTGTGGTTATTTTATGCAGAATAAGGCAATCGCTTCTATTTTATTTACCTCGTTTGCTAGGTTCCCATTTCTTAATTACATTCTGATAAATATCACAATATATCAAAGATTTTCATTATTTTTATTATACTGTTACTAAGCTTAATAATTTTCGTAGAACCCCCCCCTTCCCCCATAAATTTGCAATGGCTATTATTCTGTTTACACTGGTTATCCGCATTAAACATTTGACCGAAGAAAAGAACAAATAGAAAATTCACGATAATATCACCCACCTCAAATCTTTTGCGATCTTCACCAGATATATCAAAAAATAATAATAAATAAATAAAATAAAATAAAATAAAATAAATAAAATAAAATGCATGCAAAAGCTTCATCTTCTTATGGTAATCTATAATAAAAAATTAGCACATATGTGTAAATAATAACGAATTTATTATAAGAAGGATAGAAAGAAGCACTGGGTGTTAATCACTATCACTCATCCACATATTACCTTATTATGTTACGTAAACTCTGCAATGCCTTTAGGAAATTTAATGAAAGTGTCCACATCACAGTAAGTGGAAGATCGACAGCACATTGTCAGTTATTTAAATAAGCGATTCTATAAAGTTGGGTATGCAAACAGACAAAACCCCGCATAGGAAAACCGGTAATTCTTTAGAAATTGTAAAAGGAAAACTGAATTTTTTTTAATTACTGAAATTGCTTTAATGGTTTTTCAATGTGGTCAAATTGTGGCACAACAAACATCCAGAGATCCACAATTTCATTCGTTTTTGCTTGAAGAATATTTTGTACAGTTGTATGCATGACATAAAAGAACTTGAGGTGTCAAATTCATTTATCTTGACGTTTTTGATCTAGCCTCATAAGACAGAATGAAGTAGAATTAAAGAATCTGGGGATTATAGAGATTTTCTTAGATACGTGTGGCTTCCCAGGAGCGGCATAATTTTGCGTGTTGTATTATTGTTTCAAATTGCGTTCTGATACAGTAGAACACCTTCATGAATGTTTAAAAGTTATACAGTTATCAATCAATACAGTATCAATAAAATTTTACATCTATTCTGTGAGGTTAATTATCACCATCAAAATATCTAACCATCAAGCAGACACACACACAGAATTAAAGCATTTTATTCTACCTGACCACTTCTGAGTGCTTATTAAAATATACAGCTACAAATTTACTAGCCAAGCTGGACCTGGTTTAAAACTCAAAGCTTCTTTTCGCAAATAATATAAATGCAAGATTGCATTTATATTATTTATTATAGAAATATAAGACTACAAGATTGCACACATAGCGACAGAATTTCAAACACGCACTTACCAAAACAGGATCAAACCTCTATCGAAATATTGCCAGCAAGAAAAGCATTAGCTTCGCCTACAGACTGTTTTCTTCAATCGGCGACGGAACGCAGGCACTGCCTTACTCCTAAATCTCTCACACTCTTACTCCTAAATCTCGAAACTTTGTAATAAAACTGCTTGCCATTCACCATCTGCATAAATTTGGAATGAGCGAACCTCTGGGTGAAAAGAGAAAGAAAAGAAGTAAATTAAAATAGCATTTCGTTAGTAAAACTTAAAACTACCTTTACCACATCCACGTAATTTGTTTTTAATTATCTCAAATAATTTGCTTCTGTCTCCAACACGGTTTTTAATTTCTCTCTCACAGCATGCTGATATGGATTGTTTCCTACTTTTTACAGTTTAATTTTCAACCAACAGAATTTGTTGATACTCATTGAATAATTGAGAAATCCCTGCTTTGGTAAAGTTTAACCTTCTTTTCTTATACGATCACAAGTATCAGTACCTTATTTTTTTTTTTTTTTTTTGTACCTTTTTCTATGGGACCAATCAGTTTGGTTTGTCATCTTAAACAGTTACGCACTTTATTTTATTTATTTTTTTTAAAGACTAAATTATAGGGCTTAACTTACTGACAATATCAAACAACCAAATAAGATATTTTACTAACATTTCCCCTGGTAGCAAACAAAGTGAGTTTATTCCTGCTAATACATTAGGATAATAACTGGATCCATTTTGTAGCATACACTTGATTGGCTCTCGGTTTTGAATAGAAGAAATCCTCTTTACATAATGCAGTTGTATTTTTATTTAGTAATAACATTTTACGCAATAAAAATAATTCACAGTGGTTAGTTGCATTACATTTTGCATAAATACAACTTCATGAGATTTTCCTTAAAAATAACATCGAAGACATTCAGATTTTTACAAAAACTTTTCACAGTTCCGGTCATTAGTGCATATGAATTAAGAAATTCCGGACCGTAACTGATCAAGTCTTGGCAAAAATGATAGTAGACTACTGAGTAAGAAAAATATTAGGTAAAATGCCTAACTCTTCAAAAATTTCAGACTAAATAGTTTCTTTTCCCTCTAGCTCGGTTGGTCAATCTTTTCGAAAGCATGGGCTATTATTATTATTATTATTATTATTATTATTATTATTATTATTACGTGTGAATTCACGATTTTTCATTAAGCGGAAAATACTAGTTAACATTCTAATTATGTAATTCGTGTCGTGATAGACGTGTCAGCCAGCTACTCTCTTAACCATTAAAAAAGAAATAGTAAGAACATGAAATGTACTGAATAATAATGATGCAAACTGTGAAAAGCACTTATAAGAATCATTAATTTTATAATCTGTGTATTAAATTTTAGAGCACAAAAGCTTTGATTTGAAAATCTAAGCAGATCTTGAAATTTTATTCTTGAATTATATAACACAATATCTAATAGAAATGTGGGTTCGCTACAGGCTATAACGACAAGGCGATGAAAGAAACAAGTTATGGATTCGAGTCCTTAGCGAATTGACATTCCCAAGAACAGAAGTTCTAGGTCGTCCACTGCTTACGATCTCTCATGATAATTACGTTTTACATAGAAAACCAAGTAAAGAACAACAGAGACATCTTAGCTTGTTGTAGCAGTAAGAAGATGGAAGTTTTACTACATTTCAACAAGAAATATTTGTCAGAAAAAATTGTCTATGTGCTCTACGAATTCATCTAGAAAAATAGTTGGACAGCATACGGCAAAAGAACATACCATGTAGATCAAAATAATGCTCATAGATGAACTGAAGTATTGTCTATACTTGTAACTCAATCACATCATGATCTGAAGAGAAGTAATGATCACCATACAACCAATCCCAATCCCAAGATTCTCGAAAAGGATACGAGAAAGCTTGAGTAAGATTCATTCTCA